GTCGGGACTAGAACCAGTGATCATCTTGCTGTGAGGCAACAGTGCTAACCACTGAGCCACCATGCCACCGTAATTAACAAATATCCATCACATAAAGTTGATTGGTTGATTAGTAATGTTAAAACTATGTAATCCAAATGGATGGATATTTTATGTGCAATCAGTATACAAAACTTATATTAGTTAGGCCTAAATATTTTTGGAGTGCACTCTTAAGTTGTGTTTTCATAACTGAAATTCATTCATTCATTTTCTTTTCAGCTTAGTTCCTTTAATAATCTGGGGTCGCCACACCGGAATGAACCGCCAACTTATCCAGCATATGTTTTATGCAGCGGATGCCCTTCCAGCTGCAACCCATCACTGGGAAACATCTATACACACTCATTCACACACATACACTACGGACAATTTAGCTCACCCAATTCATCTATAGCGCATGTCTTTGGACTTGTGGGGGAAACCAGAGCACTCATAGAAAACCCATGCAAACACGGGGAGAACACGCAAACTTCACACAGAAACGCCAACTGACCCAGTTGAGGCTCAAACCAGCGACCGTCTTCCTGTGAGGCGAACATGCTGCCCACTGCACCGCCATGCAGCCCCATTACTCAAATGTATAGTAATAAAGAAACTGATAATAATGACTTGGGATGTTTGCATTTCTTAAATGTCCCAGTCATTTTTCTCAGGTTTCATTGGAAAGGCAGAGGTTGGATATGCAGATTTGTCAAAAACCTTTAGCTGCACCACGCAAGGCATATAAAGACAGAAAGGCAAGTGATTTTTAAGCATAGACAGTTATTTGTTTGAAATAGTCAGCACTATCTAACACCACCCAGTTGATGATGAACACTTTGTCTGAAAACCTAGACGTAATTCATCAACCTGCACAAAAAGACAAAGTTAGAATTGCAGTCTGCCAAGAAAGGTGTACTGACAATTATTAAAGGGGACAGTTTTATGAATTTCTTTGTTTGGTTGAACACAAAACAAGATTCTCTGAAGAATGTTGGGGGAAAAAAGCAACCACTGTTATCTATAGTATACTGTTAACGATATTTTTTTGTAAATTACAAATTATTTAACTGTAAAATAAACTGTATTTTAATGTAGGACTGTTATGCAGCATACTACTGTATTTTTAAGTTGCATTGTGAAAATTACTGTACATTTACTATGTGTATATAAAATACTGCAAATACATATGCAGCAAGATAAATGGTGTTAAAGTAAATACAGTATTTTTACTGCAATTGGTTTACAGCAAGTTATTGGCAAACTGCTGCCAGCAAGTTACAGTAGATTTCATAGAAAACGGCTGTTTTTTCCTCAATCTTCTTCAGTAAATCTTCCTCTGAGTTTAACAGAAGAAAAAAACTCAAACAGGTTTGGAACAAATGGAGGATGTGTGAATGACAGGATTCTAATTTTTTGGGTGAGCTATCCCTTCAACTTGAAAGAAATGCAATAAAAGCATATATCTAGATTTTATTGGAGCGAAGATGAAAGTGAGGTTTTGAGCATTAAGCGAATAATACTTTATTCTTTATTAATGCTCTATGTAGAATGTGTACAATATCTTACCATGGTTTAAATAATTTGTTAACTTTAAAAAAAAGCACTGTAAGTCTAATGGAGCAATAATCATTTGAAGGCTCCATTTAAGAATAATAGTGCAATTTAAATACTAATTATTCTTTCATTCATTTTCCTTCGGCTTAGTCCCTGATTTATTATGGGTCGCCACAGCGGAATGAACCACCAACTTATTCAGCATATGTTTTACGCAGCGGATGCTCTTCCAGCCACAACCCAGTACTGGGAAACACCCATACACACTCACATTCACAAACTCATACACTACGACCAATTTAGTTCAATTCAATTTACCTATGGTGCATGCTTTTGGACTGTAAAGCAAACCTGAAAACCAGGGATCCACGGCAATACAGGGAGAACATGCAAACTCCACAACGGAACCCTAACCGACCCATATGAGGCTCAAACCAGCAACCTTGTTGTGAGGTGACTGTGCTAACCACTGCACCACTGTGTAGGACATTTTGAGTCAAGATGCAGCATCATCACCTTCTCTTTTATTTATTTTAAAAAGAAGAGGTCAGAACGAGGAGTACAGTCAGCTATGCTGAATGATGATGGAACATTTTTTACCCAATTTTTGACATGATTTTCTCAGATTATTTCATGAAAAAGTTCACAACTTACTTGCATTTGAAATGCTTTCTTTCTATATAAAACCACTTTTGTAAATTTAAATTTTATAGTAAATGTAAATGTTACTGTAACTGTGTAGAGAACACATTAAACATCAAATAAATATAAATTTAGTTTGTGTAAATACACTATACAGCATAACAATCTTTTAGATGAAGTAAATACTCATTAAAATAATGCATTAACTTGACTATTTAGCTCTTGGAAGTTCTAGGTGCATCATGTTTACCAGGATATTTGTCTTATTATACTTAATCTGATACAAAGATGACAGCTTTTTAACAATGTCAACTTTAAATGTTCAAAACAAAAGGAACACTTCTTCCCAAAATGAAAATTTTATCATTATTTACTGACCCTTCTGTTATTTGGGTTTCTCCCCTCTGTTGAACACAAAATAAGATCTTTAAAATATGCTGGAAACACTTAATTATTGACTTCCATAGTAGTTGTTTGGAAAAACTACTTGAAGGGGTGTTCATTAGACTGTCCTGTAACCTTTATAAGCATGATATGAATGTTAATGATCGGTTATCCATGCATATGACAATTGACATTAAGTTTCATTCACTCAGTTATTTTTAGTTTTAAACGCAAAGATGACATTGCTTGAGATTTCTTTGTTATGATAGCTTTTTGACAAAGTTGACATTACCGAGATGGCAAATCCTGTCAGTGTCTTTGTCAGTACAACTTGACATTATCAAGACACAGTTGTGTGAAGCAACAAATTACAAATACTCTAATTACTGTAATTGAGTAGTTTTTTTTTTCAGGAATTGTACTTTACTAAGTAGTTTTAAAAACTGATACTTTTACTTTCACTTAAGTACAATTTTAGTGCAGTATCAGAACTTTTAGTCCACTATTTTCCTTCAACCTGTAGGCACTACTTTATCATTTTTCTTGTCTATGGTGACTGGCTAGTAGAGAAGAAGCAGGAGTAGAGTGCTAGAAGTACAATAAACAGTTTTGTGATTGCCATCCAATCAAATCGCACAAAGAAAACTGCATTATACATGCATTATACAGAACAACCTTATAACAAAATTGTCACATGGCCTGCATTGAAATCACAAAAATGACCACATAAAATCACTAAATGCACTACAGGATGTTACGTTTTCACACACACATGCACAAATTGATGCATCAACCATTCACAGCATAATACTCACTACTTACTTCTCTTGAGTATTCTTAAAAGGTCTCATACTTTGAGTAATATTTAAAACAGATATTTTTACTCTACTTGCACTACATTTTTGGGTAAGTAATAATACTTTTCCTTAAGTATGAATTTTCATAACTCTTTCCCCCACTGTCAAGACATCATATTATAATTGTGTCATAAATTTTATAACAGTGTCAATATGTTTTTTGACCTACATTGGTACAAATTAAATTTGTTTTTAAATTGTCATTACATTTTGATACTGCATTATAAAATTATTTGACAGAATATTGACAATTTTACTGAGACTTTTTAATGCCAAAAGACCAATATTCATAACAGTTATAATAGTCTCATGATGATCGTGTTTATAATAAGTTACATGTGTCATGCCATGATTATAAAGGTGTCATAACAGTATTATGAACACCCCTTAGTAAAGTCTTACTGGTTGTCTTTGATACAATGGATGTCAATGGTTACTAGTTTCTAACATTCTTTAAAATATCATCTTTATAGTTCAACAAAAGACAGAAACTCGTCCATTTTTGGAACCACTTGAGGATCAATAAACAGGGAGTACATTTTCATTTTGGAGTGAACTAACCCTTTATAAACTCCAAAATGCATGCAAAATTTTCCCTTCATTTTTCAAATCTACACATTTTCCCACTCTGCAATGCATATTAAAAAACATGCCTGTTCAGTGTTTCATTTTTAGAAAATGTCAAATTTGTAAAAGGAAGTAGTCGTGTCATTCGACAGTGAAGCTAGAGCTGTGAAATGCCCTTGAGTGTGTGAGCGAAGGGCTGCTGTCCTTGGTGCTGAAAGTAGATTCTCAGACTTTGGCCAGAGTACTAATGATGTCACGTCCACTGTAACTCGAGCCATAAAATCTCCAATGAACAAGACAAACGAGCATTCTTTGGCCATTTATATTCAAACCAACATATCTGTTAGTACAGCTTGTTATAGACTGTTCTTTGAAGTGTTGCACACAAATACCCGAAAGCGATATTAAGAGTAGAGGTTGGTTAGGGAGCATCTTAAAATGATGTATTATTAAACAGCTTAATAAATGCAGATGTTTAGTCAGAGCATGCTATATATAGCAAACAGATATAGAGGTATAACATTTAAATACTATAGATGCATAAACTTTTAGTCTCTTGTTAAAAAAAAAACTTTTTAGAGGTAACACATTAGATTAGTCAACACATTTACTACTGCATGAAACCGTCTAGATCATTTAGGCTACCCCATATTTAAACATAACTACTACTTACATCAATGAGCAGTAATTGGGTCTACTGAGGAAAACTCTTAAATAAATGGTAATTGATTAATATTAAACAAAAATATTATTGTATTAGTTATTAATTGTATATCGCACACTTGATTAGCCACCCAAGCACTCGTGATGTGTGACCAGGAAGCTGAAAGTCAGATAAAGATAAGTGTAGCAGGCAGGACCCTCCCACATCGACGGATCAATGGTCCAGTCAAAACAAGCCTGAGTTTCTTCGCAACAGCGCCTCGAGTATATAAAGGCAGGTAGAGCGGCTATCCAGCGCTGAGAGAGCCACACACACCGCACCTGTACACTACTTTACCTCACTCTTCTGTTCATCTGCACCTCCACTCCCCGTCAGTTCGGCCGGATGAGTTATCCGATAGATACTATAGGAAGCCCCTACCGGAGGGTGATGGACACCAGGACGAGCTATTCGAGCCCCTCCAGCGGGTTCCGCTCCCAGACCTGGTCCCGGACGAGCCCGAGTTCTTCCTCATACAAGAGGAGCTTTAACGTCCCGGTTGCGCGAGCCTACGGCTCGGCAGTACTGAGCTCCGCCGACAGCCTCGACTTCACCCAGAATTCCATCATCAACGGAGACTACAAGCGCTCCAACGAGAAGGAGCAACTTCAGGGGCTCAACGACCGATTTGCCGGCTACATCGACAAGGTGCACTTTCTGGAGCAGCAGAACCAGCAGATCGAGGCGGAGATCCAGGCACTGCGGCAGAAGCAGGTGTCGCAGTCTCAGCTGGGCGAACTTTACGACCAGGAGCTGCAGGAGTTGCGCTCCATGCTGGAGCAGACCCACCACGAGAAGGCGCAGATCCAGCTGGACACTGACCACATCGAAGAGGACATCCAACGCCTGCGGGACCGCTTCGACGAGGAAGCCCGCATCAGAGAAGAGACGGAGGCGATCGTCCGCGCCCTGAAGAAGGACATGGGTGACTCAGCACTCGTCAAAGCAGAGTTGGAGAAGAAAGTGCAGTCCCTGCAGGACGAGATCGCGTTTATCCGCAACAACCACCAAGAGGAGATCAGCGACCTCCTGGCGCAGGTGCAGGCGTCGCAGATCACCGTGGAGAAGAGGGACTACCAGAAGGCGGACATCACCGACGCGCTGCGCGAGATCCGTTCCCAGCTGGAGGGCCATTCGACGCAAAACCTCCAGCAGGTGGAAGACTGGTTTATGTGCCGCTACAGCAAACTCACCGAGGCCGCCGAGCAAAACAAAAGCGCCATCAAATCCGCGCGGGACGAGATCTCAGACTACCGCCGCCAGCTACAGTCCAAAACCGTGGAGCTGGAGTCTGTCCGAGGAACCAAAGAGTCTCTGGAGAGGCAGCTGAACGACATAGAAGACCGACACAACAATGACCTTGCCAGCCTGCAGGTAGTTACTCACTTACTCACATACTTTACACATTTTTTAGAATTTAAACAACAAGAGCTGATCCTCCACAAGTGTGTGGTGTTTTATAAAAGTGTGCTGGAAGTTCTAAATAGTGCAAGCTATTGTTAATAAGATGAAATCGTTGTTTGACCACTATTCTAAATATCGCGGTTGTGCCTCATAAATCAGTTTGGCTTGTAAAATGCATTGCAGCTGTTTATAGATTAATCAAATCAAGCCGCAGTTAAGCAGGCTGGTCACCTAGCAGAGGATTTGCATATGATGCTTGATTACATCATAGGTGCAGTGGGCTGGTGTGAGAAAGGGTTAAGGAGAGACAGACTCCTACATTGCAGTCTCTCCTCATGCACTCTTTGCTGAGTCAGAGCACAGGCAAGATTAGCTCATTGGCTCTGTCCTGGAATCACCTCATACACATTGATCCAATGCACCTACTGAGTGCCCTTGAAGCCTTAGTGATACAGTGAACTGTAACTCAGTTATTGGCTGTAAAAATATCTGCATCACAAAAAGATGCTTGGAGAATATGTATATGCATGAAATATCATCTTGAAGTATTCTGTCTTCAGCAACTGTTTTGTTTGACTAAACTATGACAACATTATGTCTAACTTATTAGGAAACCATCCACCAGCTGGAAAATGAACTCAAGAGCACGAAATGGGAGATGGCACGGCATCTGCGTGAATACCAGGACCTCCTGAATGTCAAAATGGCATTAGATATAGAAATTGCTGCATACAGGTAAGATAATATGCATAAGAGTAAAAAGTAAATGCTGAAAAATTAAAAACTGTTATATTTATTTATTCTGAATATATTATTATTTGTCAAAAAATCATATCAATATGCCATAATATATTATCAATATAATAATGAATAATAATTAGTATTTTAGTGTATTCCTAATATTATATTAAATAGTTTTAAACATTTAATATGTAATAATTACTTAAACATTAAGTAACATTTAACATTTATTTATAATTATGAATGGCGGTTCATTCTGCTATAGCGAACGCTGATTAATAAAGACAATGAATGAATGAATTTTTAACACTATGTATTTGTATTATTGCTCTCAATGTTTATTTTATATTAATAAAAATTTTATTCATATTAGAAAAGTAAATTCTTTTAGTTAAAAAAACATGTAAATAAGGATGTTGTCTTCCATTCAATTTACAAATATGTAAATTATAATGCTACATTAGGCAAAAAGCTTGATTTCTGTGTAATTTAATTTAATGTAAAATTTTATATATCAAATAGTGATTATAATAGTCATTTTATATGATTAAGAATGCAAATGTTTAAAATCTTATATTCTATGTATATATTTTATATATACATTTTGCATAACATTATTAATAATAATAAAATAAATTCTCTGATTTGTAATCGATGCAAATATGTAAATTAGATGAAAAATATTCATTTATTTATTGCATTTATTCAAAACTCTGTTTTTTTCACATTTTAAAACACAATTGAAGATCAATTTAAGCCTAAGTCTTTTATGACCTTTCATTGTCTTCATTTAGAAAACTTCTTGAAGGAGAGGAGAGCCACTTTAGCACTTTCCCATACCGCCAGACCGTCACCAAAGGCCCCAAGGTGAAAAGTGAGCCACCCAAGCTTAAAGTACAACACAAGTTCGTAGAGGAGATCATTGAAGAGACGAGGGTGGAGGATGAGAAGTCTGAGATGGATGAGGCTTTGGCTGAAATGGCAGAGGAGTTGTCAGCTGCCAAAGAAGACGAGGAAGGAGGAGAAGAGGAGGGAGAGGCTGAGGAAGGAGAAGAAGGAGGTGATGATGAGGAGGGAGAGAAAGAAGATGAGGGTGAAGGAGAAGAAGAGGAGGTGGTGGCATCAACCCAAGCCAAAGTAGCCTCTGCAGCCCCTGCTGAGGAAGAAGAGGAGGGAGAGAAAGAGGGAGGTGACGAAGAACAAGAAGAAGAGGAGGAAGCTGGAAAGGGTGATGAGGAGGAAGAGAAAGGAGAGGAGGAGGAGGGTGAGGAGGAGAAGAAAGAAGAGGAAGCAGAGGAGGAAGCAGAAGAAAGCAAGGCACCTGAAGCAAAGGCCTCTCCTGAAAGCGAGAAGGCAGAGGAGAAGCAGGCCAGTGGAGGAGAAGAAGAAGCAGAGGAAGAAGGTGATGAGAATCAAGAAGGAGATGCAGGCAGCGACAAAGGATCAACCGATGAAAAAGAAGTGGAAGTAAAGGAGCAGCCTAAGAAAGCAGAACCAGAAGCGGCCAAGGAAGACAAGAAGGGAAAAGAGGAGAAGGAAGAGGCTAAATCCGAGAAAGAAAAAGCAACTGTGACGGAAACCAAAGCAGAGTCTCCTAAAGCAGAGTCTCCTAAAGCAGAGTCTCCTAAAGCAGAGTCTCCCAAAAGCGAGAGCCCAAAGAGCGAAAGCCCTAAAAAGGAGACGCCTAAAACCGAGGCTCCCAAAAAGGATCCTCCCAAAAGTGAGCCTCCCAAAACTGAGAGTCCTAAGAAAGAGGAACCCAAGGCTGAACCTTCCAAGAAGGAGACTCCGAAGTCAGAACCATCCAAGGCTGAACCTAAAGAAGATTTCCCAAAACCAGCAGACGAGAAAGCCACAAAGAAGAGCGAAACAGAGAAGGAGCCTGAAGATAAAAAGAAAGAGGCAACCGTGAACGGAGACATGGGCAAGAAAGATGACAAGAAAGTGTCTGATAAGAAGGAGGTGATCTCCAACGGAGTTGACGAAAGCCCAACCAAAGACGAAAGCAGCCAGAGGGTGGTGATCACCAAGACGGTGGAGACCATCACCACTGGAGAAGATGGAGTCAAACAAGTCACAAAAACTGTTACCGTCACCGAGAAGGGGGAGGAAGTGCAGGAGACCGTCCAGGAGAAGGTAGTCTCCAAACCAGCGGAGAAGCAGGCAGTGAAGGCAACCGAAGCCGATTAGATCCGATCGAACCCCTATAACTGAGCGAAGAGGAATAAATCCCAGGGGGAGGAAGCATATCAAGCAATCAACACAAAACTAACATAATGAAGAAATCATAAAGCTCAACAGATGTACTTGCATTAACCACACCAAAACAAAACAAGCATAGAGAGAAGCCATAAGATGCGGCAAGCTAAAAAAAATGCATGTTGAGTGACAGCTTTAAATGGGTTTTGCTGCATATGCGGTCCGGGATGCTGGGGATTCACTTTCACTTTCGTTCAAACTGCAATATTTGGGGGAGGGGGGGCGGTCACTTGAATGTGGCATCTGCATGCCAGCTCTGGGATGTTGGGGGGGTGGAACATGCTACTTGTTCTTTGGGATAGAAAAATACCTATGTATGACAGTAATATACAATCGAATGGTGGCGAATGACATTTGCTTCGAATAATGGCAATGAGGGTTGTAGAGAGACGTGTTCTTCTGACGAAGTAGCCTTACAAATATTAGCGCGAGGACACCAACTGAGCCAAAAATGTAAAAAAAAAAAAAAAAGAAGAAAAAAAAGTGGGAGGGTGGGGTGGATGAAGATGATGGTGAAAATAGCTCATGGTCATATACACTCAGTACATAAAGCAACTAAGAAACTCTTAGCCTTAAACATGCTTTTTACCTTTGTCAGTTATGTTTACCTGATGAGTGCATTTGAAAATGAACCTGTCAATGCGCACATACATTCTTGTATGCATAGGATTGACTTGAATTCAACTACTTACCGTTAATGAGGTGCTACCGTTTGCAGTCCCATGTCTTTGTTCATCTGAATGAATTTCTCAGCAGCATTTGCTCAATAAACATCATATTAAAATACTGCATTTATTTAGTCGTCTGTTCATTTGGTATACTTATGGTGTATGAAATTGTCTTTTCAGTTGTTAAATTGAACATCAAATTTTAATTATTATATTTAAAGTGTTTACAGAGACAATTTGACAGTATTCTCAGTTCCCCTGGATTTACAGTTATGTTTATTCATATTTTTATTAAGTATATTTGGTAACTACTGATGACATTTTTTTCCCCAATTTAAGATAAAATTGTTGGTTGGCACCAAAAGCCTAATGGTTAAGTGCATTGACATGTAGCACTGAGGTACTCACATCAACCTGAGTTTGATTCCCAGCTTGAGGTCCTCTTCAAGTCCAGTTCTTCCCTTCTCTCTGCCTCTGCCATGTTTCCAGTCTATACTTTCCACTATTATGTCCCTTCAAAGTAAAAAAAAAATATATATAAAATAAGGGAAAATGTTGTCGGTTACAGCATAAAATATTAAATGTAATGTCAAATATAATGTATATGAATATACATTTAAATGATTTTGGCATAAAAAAGTAGTTTGTTTTCAGACATGTTTATTATCATTTGTAGACAACACAATGCCAGTCTTTGACTTCAGAAGACTTAAGAAATCAATATTTGATGGGTACAGTAACTCTGATATTGAATATTAATATATATATATATATTTTTTTTTTCATAAAACAACTAATAGCAACTTAAAAATCGCCAATAATATAATACAATAAAAATACATCAGATTTTTAGACAAGATCAGCAACCCAAAGATTTGTCTAACATTCTGAATGTTCTGAAAGTACTTTTATTCAGTGAAGCATGTGTAAGTATGTGCAAAGTGCAATAATATGACAGTTATTACAGCAGCAGCTGTGTGCGAGACTTTAATGAGAAAATGTTGCTGCATTGCAGACAGTGTGTGCACCATCAGAGATATATGATACCTACTCACAAATACATGTGGTTTTACTGCAGCATTTATTATGGACAGCTCAACGCATTAGTAAATGGTCCATCGTTCCATGAAATATGATATATAATGAAAAATAAAAAGCGATAAAATTGCATTAATTGCATCAAAGTGCATTTGTCTTTTCGATCTATAAAAAAAACCTTACGGAATTATTTATAGCAGCCCAGAGCACAGTTTCCTGATTTTGCAACAGGAACTTCTAAAAATACTGTCGTGAACTATTTGTGCAGTCTTCATTACTGCAGCAGTTTGTGATGCACTGTATGCAGTATAGAATTGCAATTTATGCTTAACTTTGGCTCTTTGTGTCACAACATTAAACATAAACCCAAAAGACAGAACACTCGGAAAAAAACATTCACATCTATGTCAAATTGAAACTTTACTATCAACATCTAACCAAAATATCACTGTGATGACAAAATTATACAAACTTGCATCATATGAATATATTTCATATTTGCAGCAACAAACTAGTGTACTTCATATAAAACACTGCAGTCTTTCATTTTTGCACTGTTTTATTTTTAATTAATCAGTTAGCATTCTGTAAAGCTCAATGAGACTCTTACAGTATTTATGTTTTTTCATACAAAAGGTGCTGTGACCAATACCAAAAATTGTACTGAAAGGTTAAAATAGAAAAGAAAACACACACACACAGTCACACAGACACAGTCTCACACACACACACACACACACACACACACACACACACACACACACACACACACACACACACAAATGCACTACTGTAGATACAGAAATAACATGCCAATTGTGTTTTGGTACTTTGGTCTAAGCATGTGTCTAAAGTGTTCAAGCAAAAACTGTAATACATGTAAAAGAAAAAAATATCAAATTCATTCATTTTCTTTTTTGGCTTGGTACCTTTGTTAATCAGGGGTTGCCACAGTGGAATGAAACGCCTGAAAGGTAAAGGAAAATGCTTTATTTACAGGTGATAATGATGGTTTGATTTGCTATATAAAATGATCTTAGTACTCTGAAGGACCTCTGAAACTTCAGGTACATCTGCAGCTTCTAACAAGGTATGAAATGTACAGGGAGAAATTATTTTATATTCATTCATTCATTTTCTTGTCGCAACATTGGAATGAACCGCCAACTTATCCAGCAAATTTTTACGCAGCGGATGCCCTTCCAGCCGCAACCCATCTCTGGGAAACATCCACACACACGTTCACAGACACTCATACACTATGGACAATTTAGCCTACCCAATTTACCTGTGTCGCATGTCTTTGGACTGTGGGAGAAACCGGAGCACCCAGAGGAAACCCACGCGAACGCAGGGAGAACATGCAAACTCCACACAGAAACGCCAACTGAGCTGAGGCTCGAACCAGCGACCTTTCTGCTCTGAGGTGCCGCGACAGCACTACCTACTGCGCCACTGCTTCGCCCTTTTTTTATATTATTATAAATTATTATTTTTTTATTTGTATATTTAGAATAATTAAATCCTTTAGAAATTATTTATTAATTAAAATTAGTTTATGTCTTAAATATTAGAGCCCTTAATTATTGCCTCGGTGATATTTGATTTTCCTGCATGAGATTTTCTGCAGCTAATTTGGTCTTTTTACAAAGCACCTTTTATATTTTCAAGTTTAAAACTTGGTTTAATTATCTGAGATCTGAAGAACGTCTCTGTAATGAATTAACACAATTATTACACCCACAAACAATGAAAACAAGAATCAACACATGTTTTCAGTCATCAGGAAGCCTGTTTTTATTGCGCTGACATTCACTTATTGCAGAACTGATGCCTCATTCAAAAATAGAATCTACTACACAAGTATACATTCACTGGGGTGTGTAGATCAGCATCTCAACAGCATCAGACAATCATCAATTGTTTTAAAAGCAGATAAGGTTGATTGTAGTTTCAAACATTGTATTGCAATTAACTGTGAGCACCATAAGTCAAGGGACACTGCTTGTAACAGACTGAAGGTAGACTAAAGAAGCGGGTACTAATATTTGTGCTGTTATAGATCCTCATTACTTCTTTGCTTTAGGTTTCTCTGCTTCCTCTTTTCCCTTTTCCTGTTTCACACTTTCCTTTTTCTCACTCTTGGCTTTTTCACCTTCATCTTTTCCCTTGGGCTTTTCTGGCTCAGCCTTTTCCTTTGCTTTGGGTTTTTCTGGCTCTTCCTTGCCTTTATCCTTTGACTCCGGTTCGGGTTTCTCCTTGGCTTTCTCCTTGGCTGGTTCTGGTTTTACTTCCTCTTTGGCTTTTTCAGCTTTGGGTTCAACTTTTTCCTTCTCTACCTTGTCTTTTTCTGCCTTTGTGTCCTCCTTTGAGTCTTCCTTTGTGTCTTCCTTGTCTGTTTCAGTGTCCTCTTTGGCTTGATCAGCACTTGTGTCAGCTTTCTCTTCACTTTTCTCAGCCTCAGTTTCCTCCTCTGCGGCCACTTCCTCCTCATCAGCTTTCTCTCCCTCTTCTTCCTCTTCTCCCTCTTTCTGCTCACCCTCTTCCTCATCTCCCTCTTTTTCATCTCCTCCTTCCTCATCTTCCCCTTTAACATCTTCCTTTTCTTGAGTCTCCCCCTCATCTCCTTTTTCTTCTTCTTCTTCAGCTCCAGCTTCCTCTTCGGCACCTGTTAAAAACAACAATTAGTGATGCAGTTCTTGTTTATACTTCAAATAACACATACCAAATTACAGTAGCATACAAATCTTACCTTCTTCTTCCTCCTTTGTTTCTTCTTCTTCTTGGTCCTTTTCTTCCTCTTCCTCCTTTTCTTCCTCTTCTTCTTTTTCTTCAGCTTCCTCTTCTTCCTTTTCTTCCTCTTCCTCTTCCTTTGCTTCCTCCTCCTCCTCTTCTTCTTCCTGTGTTGGACTGGCAGCAGCTTCTTGAGCTTGACTGGATGTGATGGCCTCATCTGCTGAGAAGGATGAACTGACTAGACGAGAGCTGAGCAGGTAGGGGGTGCCAGAGCTCATGCTGGACAGGGAGAACATGGGACGGGAGTAGACCGGTCCAACAGAATAAGCACCAACCAAACCTCCAACTCCCACACTGAAGCGAGATTCCTCCCCCTCAAGCAACTTCCTGTAATAATAAGGGGGAAAGATTTGCCTTAGAAGCACTAACATAAATCTGAATGCCTGTGGTTATATTTGTGATCTCACCTATAAGCAGCTATTTCAATATCAAGGGCCATCTTGACATTGAGAAGATCCTGATACTCTTTAAGATATCTGGCCATTTCGCCCTTAGTGGCTCGAAGTTCATCCTCAAGGTCACTGATTGTATCCTGTGGAGAAGGATGGATGTAAGAATGATGATTCGAGGGGATTTAATAGGTAAAATAGTTGGCAGTAGTACTAACCTGCATGGCTGCAACCTCAGCACTCTGCTTGTCCTCCACCTCCCTCAGCTGCTTCTCCAGGGACTCATTCAGGCCCTTGCAGGCATCGATCTCAAGGACACAAGCTTGAAGTTGACGCCGATATTCTCCCGCTTCATCTTTGGAGTTCCTTACTGCATCAGTGTGATGGGCTACACTTTCCGTCAGGTGACCCATCTTTCCTCTGAACCATTCTTCAGCTGACTGGATGTTCTTAGCAGCCAACTTCTCATATTGAGCTCTGATGTCACGTAAGGCGCTGGACAGATCAGGCTTGGCGGCCTCTGCTTCAACAGCGATCTGAGCTCCATATTGAATTTGGGCCTGCAGCTCTGATATCTCACCCTCGTGGACTTTCTTCAGGAATGTCAGCTCATTCAGCAAGGTATCCACCTTCTTCTCCAGCTCCACCTGAGCCAAAGCACCATCGTCGGCCTCCTTTCGGGATTCCAGAAGTCTGCCCTCGGAGTCCTCTCGGGCGACAACCTCCTCTTCATAGCTGGCCTGCAGGCTCCGCAAGGCATCTTCCATGCTCTCCCGGTGGCTCAAAGCGGCCTGCCTCTCCATGCGGGCCTCCTCGACAGCGGCTCTCAGGGTACGAATCTCCTGCTCATACAGGCCTCTCAGGCGGGACGGTTCTACATGCCTTTGTCTCAGCAGGAGCAACTCAGCCTGTAGGGCACGGTTCTGCTGCTCTAGTTCATGAACTCGCTCGATATAACCAGCAAAGCGGTCATTTAAATCTTGCAGTTGGGCCTTCTCCTGAGTTCGCACAGCCCGAAATTCAGAGCTTACCTGGGCAGCATGGCTGATGTCAATATCCACGGAGCGACCGGGGCTGCTTAGCAGCAGACCGCTAGACGTCCGGCCGGGGGAGGCATAGTGGAGGCGGCTAGAGGAGAGAGATGGTGGGTGGGCAGAGAACGTGGTGCGAGAGCGGCCACGCTGAGAGACCCGAGGGCTGCTCTCCACATACCAGCGCTTGTAAGAGGACGAGAAATAAGGGTCAAACCCGACGGCACTCATGGCTCCAAGGACAAGCTGCTCTGTGCCTTGGTACCACAGTCAGCTCGATCAGCCTTCAAGCACTGATCTGCTGCTCCTACTGCAGTCAGTGCAGCTTATATAGGCAGAAAGGAGCTCTGACGCAAGTGATTTTCTAAACTCTGACAATGCAGTATCAATAGCAGAGAGAGAGAGAGAGAGAGTGTGTGGGGGAGAGAGAGATGTGCAGCTGTGTGTGCAAGACAGACTATGACACAAATATCTGTAGAAATGTTAAGGTTTTTGATCTAATAATGTGATTAAAATGCAAATTTTTATAAGTATACGCTTAGCGACTGCAACCAAGGTCATTCTTTGTGTAAGAAGCTAAAAATAAACAAGTGATGATTTGCACTGAGTTGTCACATTGTTTAAACAATAATTGAATTCTAAAGCAACACAGAAGTTAAAATATAAGCACATAGCAAATTCATCTTCCACTGCAGATGCGGAGATGAATGCTGGAAAAAGAGTGCAAAGAGGGAGGGGGATTGGAAAAGAGGTAAGGAATGGCTATAGCTCTATTTTCAGTGCTTTACCTGTGGAAACACACCATCACCTCTGCTGGTTATGAGAGGTACTTCATGCAATATGGGCCACAGAAACAAAGATGTGAATATTGTGCTTTTTAAAGGCTTTTATACCTGTAATATTCTAAAAAAACTAATAGTTTTTTTAGTTGTATGTAATTTTTACATTTTATTTAATAGTTTGTTTGCAATGTTTAAAGTCTGAAAACATGATTTAAAAAAAAATTTAGAATAACATAGAATAGAGAAAGGGGAAAAAACTATATATAACTATGTAAAACTATGTATAACTCTGTATAACTTTACAGGATCTCTTAATTTTTTCCAGAGCTACACACACACACGCACACATATATATATTAATGTATATATGTGTGTGTGTGTGTGTGTGTGTGTGTGTGTGTGAGTGTATGTGTGTGTGTGTGTGTGAGAGAGAGAGAGAGAGAGAGAGATAGAGAGAGAAAGTTCTTACTGGATACTTCAAGTAAATATGCTTGCTTTAGGCAAAAAAGTTAGCAAACTCCTGCTATACTGTGCATTATGGGGCCTCTATATTCTCTCTGTCTTTCTCTCTCTCTATACATATATATATATATATATATATATATATATATATATGTGTGTGTGTGTGTGTGTGTGTGTGTGTGTGTGTGTGTGTGTGTGTGTGTGTGAGCTGCACTGTTCACTCGTAGGCTCTTGTTAGCCGTTAGGATCTAAGGCTTACTCTGATCTTTGCACTTTTATTCCACACCTCTCAGTTTAAAAGTCATGTTGCTATTTTGAATCCCTAAACGACCTCTGCCCTTCGAGTAGTAGATAGAAATCCGGTCCTCCCCTTAGACACAGGAGGCAATAGGCAAAGTCATCTGTCAGTCTGAAAGCAAAACACTGATTGGCTAAAAAGCAGCAGAGATATGACATTCATGACAGGCCACATACCAGAATGCTATAAAAAGAGCTTGGCAAAGGCACGCAGGGCTCACTGTCTGTCACAGAGTGTGTGCACAACAGCAAGGAGGGCTGTGTTTGGTGGGTTTTGTCAGACAAATACTGTAGTGAAACCCAAATATCCTTTTCATAATGGCTGCTGCTCATCGTCTAGTGATTGTACGCCATGGCGAGAGCTCTTGGAACCAAGAAAACCGTTTCTGCGGCTGGTTTGATGCAGATCTCAGTGAGAAAGGCCTGGAGGAGGCGAAACGCGGCGCTCAGGCCATCAAAGATGCTGGAATGAAGTTTGATGTTTGCTACACCTCTGTTTTGAAGCGTGCCATCAAGACTCTGTGGACCATCATGGAGGGCACAGACCAGATGTGGGTGCCCGTTGTGCGCACCTGGCGTCTGAATGAACGCCACTATGGTGGTCTGACTGGTCTGAACAAGGCCGAGACAGCAGCCAAACATGGAGAGGAGCAGGTTAAGATCTGGCGCAGATCATTTGATATTCCTCCTCCACCTATGGATAAGGACCATCCATATCACAAGATCATCAGTGAGGTAAGAGAAAGCCTTTTTTGTTATAATTTGTATAAACATATACACAATTAATATATCTAATAATTAAATGGCATGTTTTGTATGTTTATATGCATAATTTATTTAATATAACATAATATACTTACATTATATTGTATATAACATGTCAACTTTATTTTAATTTATTACTTATATTATATATTATTAAACTGACGCACTAGTAAAAAATTTAAATATAACATTATATTAACAAAATAAAAAAATTACATTTTTACTATTATTTTTTTATTTGCATGATTTTTTAACTTAATTGATATGTTGTTGTAATAAATTGAAACATACACATAGAATATTTCAAACTAAATATCTTCAATTAAATTAATACCTTCTCTGCATAGCTTTCTTTATAATTCACTGATGTTTGTGACAGCTTTCACATCACTGCAAAAAGTTTAAAGTTACCCCATTTCCCTCTTAACCAGTCAAGACGCTACAAGGGTCTGAAAGAGGGTGAGCTGCCCATCTGCGAGAGCTTGAAGGACACCATTGCTCGTGCCCTGCCTTTCTGGAATGAGGTTATTGTACCTGAGATAAAAGCTGGCAAAAACGTCATCATTGCAGCTCATGGAAACAGTCTGCGTGGCATCGTCAAACACTTAGAGAGTGAGTATCATCCTGCCAAACATTAAGTTAAAAGACCATTCAGAGACTCTATTACAACAGAACTGCTAGTAAGCCGACCGTGTCAAGACACAAGGACATGCAGCATTCAGACACACAGAATGTGTCTGACCACCAGGCTACAATGATCCCTGATGGCACAAAGACTATTTATAGCACTCATTCATGCATAGACTAGAGAGGGAAGGGAATGGTTCCTGTTACGGGCACAACCTTTCAGTAGAAAAGGTTCTGCATTCTCTCTCAACAGCTAGAGAGATGCACTAGTGCAAAGAAAGGTCACAGAGGTCAAGGAAAGGTCAAGAAAGTCCATGTATGTGTCAAAATATTCACCAGTGGTTGCAACCAGAGATGGGCAGTATTTGATTAATTGTTTGTAAAGAATTAGATGCAAATTATGAGTCAATTTGTCATTTTATTTTGCTGAAGCAAACATAATTGGGTGTTTTTGTTTTTTTATATAATTTTATGGCAAATTACAGTAAAAAAAAAGACAAACAAAACAATTATATTTCAAAAAGTATAGATCAGAGATGCCCAATGTAGGCCCGGGGGCCAAAGTTGGTCCATTGCAACCTTTGATTTGGCCCACTATCCCATCTGAGAGGAGAAGTGAGTATGATGGAGAGGGTTAGGACGAACGCCTTTAGAACAGAGATTGCCAATTTGATGTAGCTTTTTTGTTTGTTTTATTGCTGAGCTACAAAAAAGTAAACAAAAATTAAATCTGATAAATAAATAAAATTTTTTAGTATGTAAATACTGTCACTCAACAAACAGAGAATTATGCAAAAGACAACTGGCAAGAAAATCAAGGCAAAAGAAATTGTTTTGATTTTATTGTAATAAGTTTCTTAATAAATGTAAATAAAAACCTGCAATAGTTAATATAAATAAATGTTTTCTAGTAATTTCTAAACATTATAAAATACCCGTGGCAACCATATTTACCTACAGCCCACTAGCCTCAATGAAGTTTGGTTTTTGGCCCTTCATAAGAAAAAGTTCTGGCACTCCTGGTATAGATAGTATCAACTTAAGGGCATACAATGAAAGGTAAATAACTATGTGGCTTAACAAAAACTACAATTGTACAATCTGTATCACATACACTCTACTTTGAACTTAGAAAATAAAAAGAATCCATTTTCTGGAACAAGGACTTAGTCTATCCACAATAAAACATGTTCTTGGATATATTTCCTAAATGGGTCCCAAATTGTCTTAAGCTAGTTATATGAACCTCTAGACAGTCTAATTTTTTCCAACTTTACAGTTTGTAGTATAAATACACACATTAGACACTTGATGCTATTATAGGATAGAAAAAAACAGCTGTGTTGCTTTAGAGAAGGAGTGCCCAGCTAAATTCCTGGGGGGCCGCAGCTCTGCAGAGTTTAGTTCCAGCCCTGCTTTAACACACCTATATGTACGTATCAAACAAGCCTAAAGCACTTAATTAGTTTGATCAGGTGTGTTTAATTAGGGTTGGAACTAAACTGTCCAGAGCTGCGGCCCTCCAGAAACTGAGTTTGAAACTGCTGCTTTTTATTACTAGCTGATGAGTGACCTAGGTTGCTAGTGTTAGGTATTTTAACATTTTTATTTTCAAATGCATTGTAGTACTTACTTACATACTTACTGGGCCGTTTATACCAAAGTTAATATTTAGCTGCACCATGTTGGAGTTTTGTAACATCAAATTTTTATGAGGTGAGATGTTAGCCCAAAACAACCATAGCGCATGTCTTTGGACTTGTGGGGGAAACTGAAGCACCTGGAGGAAACTCACATGAACACGGAGAGAACATGCAAATTACACACAGAAACTGACCCAGCCGGGGCTCAAACTAGTGACCTTCTTGCTGTCAGGCGTTCATGCTACTTACTGTGCCACCATGCCCTAATGCATTGTAGTAGCTAAATAACTATGTATTTTTTTATTTACCAGTTACTTTTTTTTTTTGGTCATTCAAATATAGTAGAGTAGATGTAGATGATACGACAATAGATGCTGTGGCACAGAACAGCTTAATTTTTTTTTTTTACATATTTCTGTGATAAAGAAACATGTATGATAAAGAAAAGGAAATAGTCACTCTGTAATAACCAAATACATAATTAAATAAAGAATCACAGTACCATGTAGTGAATAGTATTGAATGCAGTCATTTATGTCTAGTAAGCATAAACAGTTATGGATCATTACATTGGGTCAATCCTAAACTGACAGCAGCCTAATATACCTAGTACAGTAGTTTTAATAACAAACAAAAAGACTAAAACTACTGTATTGCACTTTTTTTAAATGATTGCTTGTACATTTTGTATTTTCAAATGACAAATTACTTGTATTTTAGTTCAATAGGGTATGAGGAAGCATGCTAATAGAACTTTTAATTTGCCAGTAACCTGGGTTAAGCACTTCCGGTGAACTGAATGCCATTGCAAAATTGCAAAATTTAGGGTCTGTTTTCTTTAAATATCAGCGATCTCCACTGGCTGAGTGATATCCAATATAAAGTGGGTGTCAGATTGTGCAAGAAGCACCGCATTAAATTACATTTTCCCCGCCATGTCTTTAAAATATGAGCATTTATTTTACCCCAGTATATTCAATTGAGCTTCTGCGCTAGCCTGCCGATTCTGACGCCGCGAGTGCAAGTAAAAGGCTTTTCGTCTCGTTTTGAGCAACTAAATGAATGCCAAAGTCTATTTAACTGATTGTATTTTAATTACATTACAACATCGATGCGGTAAAAGGAACCGTATAAAATGGAAAAAAACTCAGAATAACAGGTCACCGGAGGTTTATCAGTATGAGAACAACACTAGCTCGGCATATACCCTATTCATTTCTCAGACCAATATTATGTATTGTCGTTACATTTTAATAAACAAGTATTTGTAATAACTATTTCACCCCACACAAATCTCTCTTGTAGATTGATATTTTTATTAGGAGGCTATACAATATTATATTTGTGCATATACATTAGATTAGTCGGTACTGAAGCCAAATCTGGAGCTTATCTAACAAAATAACTTACGATAATGGTCCAAAAACTGTAAATCCAAATGTATATATATGTATATGTATATAATGTATATGTTATAGAAAAATAGTAAATACAAATTTAAAAAAAAGAGGAAAAATCAAGAGAAGAAACAAATGAAAAAATGTAGTTGAGATTTTGTAGGTTGTAATTTGTTTTTGCAATATTTTCTTTGAATTTAATAGTATTATCTTTTAAATGTTTTGTGACTAAAACATTATTTTAATAAATATATCTGTTTAGGAAATCTGTTTGGTTTAAACGCACCAAAATGCATTGCCTATATTCACTGAGAAATGGATACAAATATTCATTTTCAAAACACGAGGTGTATTCAATTATGCTCAGCGCTGTATAATAAAATACTTTCAATGTATTTGTGACCATATCTATGTCCGCAGGCATGTCAGATGCAGCAATCATGGAGCTGAATCTGCCCACTGGCATCCCCATCGTCTATGAGCTGGACAAAGACCTGAAGCCCATCAAACCCATGCAGTTCCTGGGAGACGAGGAAACAGTGCGCAAAGCCATGGAGGCCGTGGCAGCCCAGGGAAAAGTCAAAAAGTGAACACCAGACCCAAAACCCAGAGACTAAATGAAAGATTACACATGACACGGACATGAACATCACTCTTCCTCCTGAAACACTCTCACATTACATCCCGATTTGTAAACCCTCTTGTATTGGACTGCCCCGCTCTGACACAGCAAATAAATGCGAGCACCATTTTGTGTACCTGCTTTTTTCACTTGAGTCATTCCTCCTCCTCTGCATTAATTGAGGGATTTCAGCAGAACGGCGCGCTGCTGTGTAAGCTGACCCGAAGGGCACACCAAAGAGGTTGCAGAGTTCGTTTTGGCAGGCGTCCCGCTCTGTGGTGCAGTGGCGGCTCATCTAGCCATAGTTCTGAACGGGAGTCTGCTGTACAGACAGACCATTATGGTGAAGGCTTCCTGCCAGAACTACAATTAGCAAGAGCTCAGGTTTTCTGGTGACAGAAGGACAGATGTGTATGTGTGCGTGTGGGCATGAGCGATGGTCTGTGATTGGAAAAGGACAAAGTCAGATCTAGACAAGTCACAGTACCCCAAAATTGCTCAGGGACTAATTCATTATGTAGGAAGACTAATTTTAGGTCTTCACATTGACAGCACTGAGTAACCTATTATTTGAATCTATTATTTAAGGGTCTATCCAAAAATAAAGACTTGTTAAATAATTACTGAACACGTTACCAAAAAGGACAAAGGACATATGAAGACTCAAACACATAAGGATTTGCATCAGGCATGCACGTGTGTAATTATTGATTAATAAACTGTATACCTGTATTACTAAATATAGGACTAAAACATGCAGGTACATTTGTATACACATTTATTGTTTCATTTATTATCAAACAAAAATTTATATTGTATTATCATTCATTCATTTTCTTTTTGGCTTAGTTCCTTTATAATCGTGAGTTGCCACAGTGGAATGAACCGCAACCCATCTCTGTGAAACATCTGCACACACACACTCATACACTACGGACAATTTAGCCTACCCAATTCACCTGTACCGCATGTCTTTAGACTGTGGGGGAAACCGGAGCACCCGGAGAAAACCCACGCGAAGGCAGGGAGAAAATGCAAACTCCACACAGAAACGCCAACTGAGCCGAGATTCAAACCAGCAACCTAGCAACCTTCTTGCTGTGAGGCAACAGCACTACCTACTGCGCCACTGCCTCGCCCACTAACTGCAACTCATCACTGGGAAATGTATTATAATTTATTACACATAATTATTACATTAAAAATATATATATAACTCAACAATTTGTGGTACTAAGTAGTACATAAATAGACGATTATATCAAATGTATATAAATACGTAATTGTACATAGAAAAAATATAAATCTTATTCATAGGGTGACACGGTGGTTCAGTGGTTAGCACTGTTGCCTCACATCAAGAAGGTCGCTGATTCAAGTCCTGTCTTGGTCAGTTGGCATTTCTGTGTGGAGTTTGCATACTTTCCCTGTGTTGGAATGGGTTTCTTCCAGATGCTCCGGTTTTCTCCACAGTCCAAAGACCTGCGCTATAATTGAATAAACTTAATCAGTGAGAGTAAGAGTGTATGGGTGTTCCCCAGTGATAGGTTAAAGCTGGAAGGGCATCCGCTGCGTAAAACATTTGCTGGATAAGTAGGCGGTTCATTCCGCTGTGATGACCCCTGATGAATAAAGGGATTAAGCCGCAGGAAAATTAATGAATGAAAACAGATACAATTCCATAATATTACACTACTTTTAAGATATATATTTTTTCATAAGTTTCATAATATGTGCATATTTTTATGTATAAACTGTATAAATACAAACAAAAATTCAATAACACACAAAAATATTTACATTATATTTATGTAATGCATTAAGTTTTTTAAATATAAATATATATATATATATATATATATATATATATATATATATATATATATATATATATATATATATATATATATATAAATATGTTAAGCTCAAATACTTATCCTGATTTTTGTTTTCCTAGTTTGATTCTTGTCTAACTGATCAATTATGTTGTCATGCTTCTAGCAATTGTGAAAAAAATGGCTTTTCTAAACTAAGCTGGGCAACAGTCTCGAACTCTTGAAAGGCCAAAAGAATATTAGTAGTAGGATATGAGGTAAAACACAATGAGCTATCAGCAAACTATCACAAATTTCAAAGCAACAATAAAAAATTTTTAAAAAATGATAAAGTTTTGGATAAAAAAAAAAAAGTAATTCACAGTAAAAATACTACAAAAAATAAATAGAATTATAAAGATGTGGGCAAAAATTAAGTTCACTATAAAAAAAATACTAAAAATAAAATAAAATGATTGTTACGAGTAAAAATTTAATTCACTGTAAAAAATACAATAAAATAAAAAAATACTACATTTCATAGTAACTATACTGTTAAACAATGACATGGTGCATTTAATTGGCAATTTGAGTACAGGGTAGTTGTCTTGCCCAAACTGCTTTACTGAAACAGTACTGCCATCTAATGTTTAACTCGCAATATTGCATTATAATCTGAGATGCCACAAAAACAAAATAAAAGCACATAGAGCTTGCTCATCAAACATGGCAGCTTAAGTGGTTTATTTTAAATATATATTTTTAATCTGTATTTATTCATGAAGATTCATGAAAAAGTTAGAGGGTATTAACAAATACTGCCAAACTGGCAATAAAACATAGGTGGTATCTGTCCTGTAACAACTGTAACAAACATCTACTGCCACAGTCTTTAAAATAAACCTCTTATCCGTGTTTATTTTTTTAAGTCTTGTAAAACTAGATTTGCCAGGTCAAGTAATGTCATTTCATAAAGCAAAAATGTGAGTTGAAGAGAATGAGGATGTTTTTATGGGTTATTGTTCAAACAGAAAACCACTTCCTTTTAGTAAGCTCTGACTTCCACAGTCAGGTCTGCTCAAAATGTCTTACTGTTGTTGATAGGTGGAGTCATTCCTGTTCAAGGCAAGAATTCTCTCCTTAGGCACAATGTGAATTCCAGCTCTTTAGGTTATGCTGATTTCAGGAGAGCTGTTTCTACATGCCGCTCTGCTGAGCTGATTCTTGGAAATTTGTTGGTTTCCTCAGAATCATTAGATCTCAGTCCTGTGTTAAAGACAGATATCATATCAGGATAAAGGGACCAACATAAAACTGCTATCACTGTCCCTGAAATCTAACATGTATATCAAAGCAATTGATATTCAAAGGCTCAGCAAACAGCAATAACTAAATTTTATCAAGTCAAATGTAGAACATTTTAATTCCCTTTTTAGACCATTATAGATGAAATTTAAGACTTATACATGGCTAAACACTAAGGATTTTTAATGATAGCACAGTTGGGCCAGTCAAATTTTTTGTTCTGCTTGCCACTAAAATCAAATGTAGTTATTTCTTAGCGACATATTTTAATGTGTCAAAGAAAGAATACAAATATACACTTTTTTATTCAACATAAATGCTTCTTTTTACATTGTTTAACATTATTAAAAGTATATTAATGTCTTTTAATAGCATCTAGATTGTTGTATTCTTCAAATTGTGTTAATATCTTCTAACATAAATTAAAATAATACATATATTAAGGGTTATTTTAAGATAATTTTCTTGCAATTACTTCATATTTCAGTAAATCCAATGAGACAGGCATTATAAATACACTATTAACCAGCATTACTTATCTTGTGAGAGAGGAGAAACATACAGATATAAGCAGTACTATATCAGCATACTGGTAATATAAACAGGATTAGCATGTAAGCTAAATTAGATGTAGCCTGACATTTATTTTCTGTTTTAGAGACTTACTTTATTCAGTTTAGGAGAAAAGCTCTTTGTAGCCACTCGTAAAAAAGAGAGCCGAATCTAATCAGAGTTGTCTAATAACAAACATAGTATATTATATTTCATGCCACGAAAGTGTGATCGACTGCTGAATTGACTCAGATTGATTGATTGCCTGTCGGTCAACAGGCCGCTGTGGATATAAGTTAAGACCTTGTGGCTGGGTGAAAGAAAAGGTAAAATTATACTTTGCTGTCTAATATTATTAGCTAATTAATATTTTGCAGGTCTTTAAGTTTTAATAGAGCCTCATAATTTTACAACAGCAAACTATATTACATATAGGGCTAGATAAAAAACGTCTTTTTCCTGCTAAAAAAATTAACGTTTTTTTCTGTCACAACAATACCTCATATGGGCAAACATATACAACATGATTTAATAAAGAGTTAGATTAAAGTTATATTGTGGTTAATTTGTATACATACCAGATATACCGATCATTGGTACGTGTTAGATCACCAGAAGATGGCGGCATTTCTAAAAGAAAATTAGGCCTGCAGAATTATCGCGAGATTCAACAAAAAGGAGACTTTCCGTTTGCGGGCCAGCATAAAACGAGTTCGTTTTTGGTGAACTGGACAAATAAGTGTGTATTTTATATCTTAAATTAAGGGTGCACAAACTTTTTTATATAAAGGGCCAAAAACCAAATAATATGAGCCAGGGCCGGAGTGGGATTTCTTTTCAGCCCTGGAGTTTCAAGCCTTAGATCGGCCCACTTCAGTTCACGACTGACTATGTTAAAATAACGTCAGTACTTCAGTGAAGATTTATTTGACCAGTTAACACAATGTAATGTTTAACAGTATCAAAATCTATTTTCGGCAAGAACTAGCGCTCATAAATATCCAAACCCTGAAATTAAAAAATATAAAATAAATACAAATATATAAGCTATATGTAGAAAATAAAGATTAAAATTAAATGTATTGAATTTTCAAGGACACAGCTGTTTTAAAACTTCAAATATTTTTCTTAAATATGAGAACATTAAAGGCCCAACAAACACATATACGTTGTAGCGATGTCTGCACAACGTTGTATTTTTTTAAAGGCAACGTTGTCGCTTACGTGCTCGCTACATTGTCACAACGTAGAAATGTAAGACGTGAGAAGGCTGTAGCAACGTTGTCGTGCGACATTCAGCAACCGCGAGGCGGCGTTCTTACTACTTGTATTAATATTTTTTGTGGCAGTTTATCAATACTGCCTAGAATACAGGATAAGCAGCAATTCTTTTCCAGTATTGCTAAATATGAAATATTATTCATTTATTTTTCCTATTTAATTTAAAAATTGCATGTGTAAACTTTAAAGTGTAAAAATGCCACACAAATAAATATAATCAAACTTTTTATTATATATTTCACAACATTTAATACATACAGTACACATACAGTATCTAATTATAAGCAAACAGTATAAAATAAAGTTTACATTATATATATATATATATATATATATATATATATATATATATATATGTATATATATATATATATATATATATATATATATATATATATATATATATATATATATATATATATATATAAATATAATTAATTAAACTAAAGGGTAAACAAACAAGAAAAGTAAACAAGAAATCAATAAAATGTAAATAAATATATAAATAAATATATAAATTAAAATTCAAACACTGTGCAGTGAAGCTCTGGACTGGAGAATACAGCAGACCGGGGAGCGCAGCTGAAGACCAGTCGTAGTTGTTGGTATGGAGAAAGCAGTCAGAGGAAGAAACAAATTCAACGGATAATCCAGCTTCAGAGATCCACAGCAGACACAAGTCAAAATAGGCAGTGAACAAGAGAGGACAGATCAGAGCTTGACACAACAGCACTACACAGGAAATGACTATGACTAGCAAGTTATTGAAGTTTCAGACATTTATTGTAATTTCATTACATATAAAATCTCCAAAGTAATTATGTAGCCTACTGTATTTTAATGTTTTAATAATAAATCATATACCAAAATGACACAATTAAAAGAAATTTAGAGATACAGGGAAAACAGGTATGAGTTAACAGAAGTCAGAGTTAGTCTCCGAATACTTACTTAAACTATGAGAAGAGAAAGAACAGGCCCTGTAGTTGTGGCGTTGCTCGCTGTAAATGGAATGTTAAACTTAGTGTCATTTCAATAACAGCTGTACAAAATAATAAAGTAATTTTTCATAAGCATGATCTATTTTCCACATTATAGACATGCTGTTTTAGGTAACATAACTACATTTAATAGTAAATAGAGTAGTATACTTCTTACCTTATCCAATTCTTCTTTCCATAGATCAGGAATTACAGCAACACTGATCTGAGGTGAATTCAACAGCTGAAAACATTCTGAAAGACAAGTTACATGAGTAATTTGAAAACAACAGTGAGTGATTTAACAATAGAGTTTTATGCAACTTACACATAATTAAAATCCAGAAATTATCAATAGAAGATTACCTCCATGTGAAAATAGCCTGTTGAGTAAAGAAAAGAGTGGGTTTTAAATAAAACATCAAAAGACCAATCAAAATAGAAATTTAGACTAGCAGACCTTTTAATTACTATCTATATTAATTAGACATAAGAACCTCAATTTATATACTTTAACTTATAGGGATAGCTCACCCAAAACTGACAATTCTGCCATTTTAGCCTCATCCTTTATTTGTTGCAAACTTATTTAGTTTTTTTCTGCTAAACAATAAAGAAGATATATTAAATAAAGCTGGAAAACTGTAACTATTTAATTCCATAGTGTTTTCCTACTATGAAAGCAAATGCTTACAGTCTTTAAGTGTTCAACAGAATAAAGAAACTTAAAGGTTTGGAATCACTTATTATTTACAGGGCAAATAATTCGTGAGTACATATTATTTTTGAGTGAACTGTTCCTTTAACGGGACGCAATCTACACAGAGATGTTTTGTTTTTAAAAGTTATTTTGTGTGTTTTGTAAAACGTGGGTCGGCTCGTGTGATGAAGTATCAAACTAACTGATCACGATGGATAAGGAAAAAACTGAACTTTAAAAACATATTGTCCATTTGACTAAAGACAAGGCGTAGGTAAATAATCAGGAAATGTTTTATCGAGAGATTTAACATGTGATATTGGAACAGATTGTTGTCGAAATCGTAGGTTTGTTTGAATATTCACGATTTACGTATCTTATTTAGCAAGAAGAAATAAAGCAATACTCACGTCTCCTCGGTCGTTGATGAATGAGACGACGGCTTGTTGAAATTTAAACTGATTCAGCTGTGACCAGTAAATGTTGTACAGTGGTCGTCCACGCAACCTAAGCACAACCTAAAGCATGCGACCCTCATGATGTTTAAATGGCAACCTTATGACATCGTTGTGACAACCTTTAGCAACAACGTAGAATCCTCAACCTTTTTGCAATGTTGGTACAACGTTGTAGGAAGGTCGCTACGTTGAGGCAACGTTGTGTGTTTGTTGGGGGGTAGCTAAATCTCCAACACTATTCTTTAAAACATCGCAATGTCCTTTTCTGCCATATCTGAATATATATTCTGTGCAAGATTATTTACAGTTATCCAGTCCTTAAACACAAATAATGAATAAAACAAGTATTGCGCTGTTTTTAACTACAGTATTACTTTCTAATGATGTTAATTTTTACCCCTTTTTAGCTTTCTGATCAAGTTAAGTCAGATTTATTAATGCAGTATTCTTATTTCATTAAACGTCTCAGGGCATTTTTCATTGAGCATTAATTATTCAAATTCTTATATTCAATAAATAACAATCCTACCTGCCCATTTCAGTGTGTTGGGCTCATGACTGGTGCTTTGTAACATTACGGGGCCTGGTTCTTCGCTGTTAGCAGAAAGCTAGACTAGAGGCTGCTGCTGCTAATGAGCTATGGTACAAGAAAACGTTTGGTACATAAACTGTGGTTTGCAGACATCGTTGTTTTGCACTGCTCCTAACTAGTTTAACGTTAACTTACCGGCCGTTTCATCGTCTTCATGTGTTGTACTCTCGCTGAGGCTGGTTTTAACGAAAAATGTCCTCAGCTTTTTTTAATTATGCCCATTTCTGCGCTTTTTATTATAATTTTTTCATCTCTTGCGCATCTCTTAACAAACGATTTTGCTAATGAGCAAGGTGCCGCTGTTGGGTAGTCGAATAATAAGTACGTCATCATTAACCAGCAGGCGGCATTCAGCTAATGGGGCTGCGAGAAAAGAAATAAAAAGTGTGCAGCTGCTGCAAAAAAAAATTTAATAAAAGGTAGAGGCTATGGTAAAATAATGAATAAATAAATAAATAAAAAAAGTCCGACTGCTGAGAGTGCAGGCAGCTAGGGACCAGCCCACCAGGAATTCTTCCGGTCCTGCCAATTAGCCAATACAGGCCTGGTTCCAATCCTTTATGAGTCTCTTTTTCTGTTGAACACAATATATATTTTGGAGAAGGCTAAAAACTGGATCATTGACAAATACTATGAAAGTGATTAACGGTTTTCAACAGAAGAAAAAAATAGTGAAGTTTGCAAGAATTGAAGTGTGAGAAAATTATGAAAGAATTTCCTCTTTGATTGCAAATTAAACCAGTATTACGTTACATATTACCCAGAGTTAGGGTGCATTTACTACTACTAAAAGAATCTATCTTTCTCAAAAGCAATGTAAGGTTAAGTAGATGGTAGAGACTGGTTCTGTGGTTTAGGTTTACTAGCTCGAGTTATTTACAATTCACTTATTTACAACAGGCAACAACTATTCAGTGGTTGTACTTAAGTTCATGTGCTTTTTCCAACAGCTCTACATGACAAGGTTCAGTGCATTTTTCTTTTTGTTCCCTGATCCTTAAAACTGTCCAGGATTGCCAATGAAACCAGACATGGAGACTGATCCTGGATCAGCTCCACTGGAGGTGGGAGACAAAGGTAGGAAGCTAAACATTGCTCCTTAAATCTGATGGCAGCCAACTTATCTATTCAGTTTGCCTAGCTGATTAGAAACATGTTAATATTAATACTATTAAGGCTGTTTAAGAAGCCAAACAGCATGACACATAACTGAAACGTACTGAGTGTCCAGTCCTAGATGTTTTTGCTTTGTATGTTTCAGGTCTGGCACAGATCTTGGCACATGTGATTGCTGAGGTGAGAGGCTCTATTAATAAAGATATAAATGGAGCTGAACTATTGTATGGTCTTCTCAACGCCCCCTGGTTGCAGTCACTACTAAAGGTAGAGTCCATCCAACATATATTATTTGTAATTAGTACAAATTGAGAGCTCATTGTCTGCTTTTTTTCTCTGCAGGTGTATGAATGTCTACAGAGGCATCTAAGGGGTCCAGCCAGGCCATATGTCTCATATTCATCTGGACTTTCTCTACAGGTTAGCTTTAAAGTTTATTGGCATAATTTTTTAACCAGTTTGTTCCACTCATAACGTTTGCATCTACTCTGTCAAAGCCAATAGCGTATAGAGCTGTTTCCTCTGCTAGCTGTTACTGTCCATTTTCACATCTTGCCAGTCTATACCAGGGATCACCAAACTTGTTCTTGGAGGTCCGGTGTCCGGCAGGTTTTAGCTCCAATGCTAATCAAACACACCTGAACAAGCTAATCAAGGTCTTAGTAGGTATACTTGAAACACCCTGGCAGGTGTGTTGAGGCAAGTTGGAGTTAAACCCTGCAGGGCACCGGACCTCCAGGAACGAGATTGGTGACCCCTGGTCTATACTGCCCTTTCTCAAAAAAATGTCAAAAACCTCCCAGTGTCTTAAATGTCTTAAAGTAAGTGAGGACTTTTTAAATAGTACCATTTAGAGTTGTAATCTTGAAGTGTGTGTAAAGTGAGTATTGTCAAATATGGTTACCTGTACTTGGAATTCACACGAGTGAAAGCACACACAGTGACCGTAAACCCAGAGCAGTGAGCAACTATTACTTCCAGTGCCCAGAGAGCAATTAGATCATGGGCACCTCAACTGGGTATCGAAGGTAAAGAGAGGGTGGGTGGTTCATTCACTCCCCTGCTGGGAATTGAACCTCCAACCCTTAAAAAACAAGTTCAAATTCCTAACCATTAGGCCAACTGCCCCCTAGTTGAATGAGAGGATGATCTTCAGAGTTCATTCATTCATTTTCTACCACTTTTCAGGGGCCGAGTCAAGGGGGTAGCAGTCTTAAAGAGAACTATCCTAATTTTCCCTAATTAAACACATGTAAACCAGATAATCAAGATTTTCAAACTCAGTAGAAACATTCTGTGCATCGAAATTGCATCCAAAAAGTTTAAAAGCAAATGTAATTACTCAGTCTGCTAATTTGGATGCAGCATCCCACTCAAGTGTGTTGTTGCTAAACTCTGTAGGATGCTGGCACTCCCAGAGCAGAATTGGAAACCTACAAAATCTTCATATATTTTTTTTTATTCTGCAAGACAACTAATTCTTGAGGGCCAGAGTTTGCCATCCCTATTTAGAGAACTATTGACCTCCTTGGTCAGCCACACCTACAGGTGAGCATTCATTTAAAGGATTGAAATATATGTGTTTTTTTTTTCAAACAGTTTACAGAGGCATGTTTTTTCCTCTTTTGTTGGCCATTAGTCTATTTATAAGTAAGTTTGGCAATGATTCAGGCCAATCTTTATGGACACTTGAAGTATTTGATTGGTTGTGAATAGAAATATAATGTAAACCATGTGTTTTTTTCAGGCTCTGCTGTCGGCTCATGACACGGTAAGCCTAAGGGACTATGAACCAGATCTGCCACCATTGCCTAACGACTTGCCTGAGGATGAGGAGGCCATGAGGATTGTTTGCTTGGTCAAAAACAATCAGCCTCTGGTGAGCATGACCAGAAGAAGGGAGTGGCAGGCAAACCCAAGGCTTGCTTTTACTGACCTTTGCTTTATTTCAATGTACATTGTTGGAGTCTGCCTTTCAGATCAGCATGACAACAGGGTACAGCAATAAATACTGTTAGTGGTATAAAGTCTTGTTCTTAATACGAATTTTAGCAATAACTTCTTTCCTTCTATTATTTATGGTTTTTATTTCTTATCTCACTGATAGCTGTTCTTATCAGGTGTTCTGGTTGGTAACTAACACTCTGAGCTGTGTGTTGTCATGGATAGACCGGAGCTGGTAAAGAGGTTCAAAACCGCTCGGAGACTTTAAGACAGGCAACCCACTGTGGATTATTCTCAGCCAGAGGGCGGCTGGCCGGAAGCTTACATGCCATGTTTAAAGGTCCACGAGTTGCTGGTTCCACATCCATCAACACTCCCTCCTCCCCAAGGATTGTTTCTCCTGCCAGGCCAAGCCACAGCAATGCTTGTAACACTTGCCACCAAAGCAGTGCATTATGGAGACCTAGCCTCAGTAGCTCCACCCCTTGTGTCTGTAGTTCAGTTGTGATTGGTAAGGTCCAAACTTGTGGATTTGTAGACTTCCATTATTACATTCATCACTTGAATGGTTTTGTTGATTTATTTTCTCTAATCTTCCTGTTTCCATCCCTTTAACCGTTCATGTCTCTTTCGTTCTCTGAAGGCAATTTAATTGAGGATTTAAACAGCGGGGAAGAGAGTGATGTTGGTAACTCATTGCCACATACATTCTCTACTCCAGCCCCATGGGTATCCTCGTCATCCTGCTGCTATCGTCCCCCTCCAGTAACTTGCAGAACTGCTCCCCCTAGTCCAATGCACTGTCATGAGTTAAGAGAGACCATCGCTTGCTCCCAAAGAAGGCTGGAAACCGGAAGTCTGGATGAACTGCGGAGTACATTGCGGCAGGCCGCCAGCTGCATGGAGCGCAGTTCTGAAAACGTCCACCTGCTTAGTGAGAGGATGACCACTGCTACTGAACGCATATCTGAGAGCGTGCAGGAGAATACCCATGCTTTGGCAATGCTATCGCATGTAGTAGAGAAGCTCCAGGAGCTAGTCTCCTCAAGCAACCCAACATCAGTATCAGCTCATTGTTCTGGGGCTCCAAGCGCTATTGTTGACCAGATGGACAAAAGATCGCTAAGTGTCCCCACCAGTCCAGCTAATGCCTCTTCCTCTCGCTTTTCTCATTGCCCCACCTGCTCCTCTTCTTCATCGACTTCCTCATCTGCCATCAGTCTGCTAGAACAGCCGGTGCTAGCTAAAGGGGGATCATTTAATCCCAACGCAAAGTCATCGCCATCTTCTCAAAGGAGACGTGTTGATGTACAGCACTCAATGACCAATGGCTCCTTACCGTCCAGCCCTGCCCAGAGCCACAAAGTGAACAGCAAAGCATTCAGATGTTTCTTTAGCCAGAAGAAGAAAAACAAGAAAAAGGAATGAAGCTGCTTCCACGTTTTGGATGGTTACGAACATCCTTTCAGATTCTTGCTGGCTCAAGCATGCAGGTTTTCAGATGTTTAATATGCATATATGCATTTCATATGACACCACCAGTCCTCACTGTCACCATTTGCACATCAGTGCTCATCCAACCTTTTTGGAAGTCATGTGTTTTTCTTTTTCATGGGTCATTCTCATTGGTTTTCATATCTTTGTTTTCTCCATGACTCCGTCCCTTCTCATATCATTTCTCTTCTTGATTATTTCATTCTTCATTTGACTTCCTTCTCTTCATATAAGGATGTTGTTCATTTTGTGTTTGGGTCACGTGCATGCCACTTCCATCAGATAAACTCCAGTTTTGTACTTGATACATAACGAATAAGGAATTTATTTTGACTGATATCTTGTTTTTTTTAAATACAGGGAGCGACAATCAGGAGAGATGATGTTACAGGGGAAATCTATATTGCTCGAGTTATACATGGAGGACTGGCGGACCGCAGTGGTGAGGCTTTACTGGTTTTACTCTCCGTTTTTTCTTAAACCCATGCTGGCACATCATAGTCTCTAAGTCAACATTACCTCTCAGAGTCCTGTTTGTTGTCCTTGTGCTTCTTGTTGAAGGTCTCTTGCATGCTGGAGACAGGCTGGTGGAGGTGAACGGTCAACCTGTGTTTGGACTAGAACCAGAGCAGATCATACAGATTCTGGTTAGTATACTTAGTAGTATACTTTTGCAGCATATCCAGAAGTCATAATAGGAATGCCTGAGGAAATTTAGTGAGTGAGTAATCAGTTAAATGTTACTGAAACATCTCATGTGACATACGAGCTAGTACAAGGGTGTCCAAACTCGGTCCAGGAGGGCCAGTGTCCTGCAGATTTTAGCTCCAACTTGCTTCAACACACCTGCAAGGATGTTTCTAGAAAGGCTAGTAAGAGCTTGATTAGCTGGTCCAGTTGGGTCTGATTGGGGTTGGAACTAAACTTTGCAGGACTCCGGCCCTTCAGGACTGAGTTTGGACATGCCTGACCTAGTAAAAACATGTGATGATGTGCTGGTTGAGTACTGGTGTCCCATATTAGGAGAATATTGTCATCCCTACCTCTTCACGATCTCTTTCAATAATAAAACAAAAACAGTCTACAAGAAATTGATCAAGAAAGTAATAAATCATCAGTATTCATGAAGTTTTGTGTCTACTTCCTACAGGCCCACTCACATGGAACTATAATGTTTAAGGTGGTTCCCATCACTGACAGGCCAGTCAACAACCAAACCATGGTGAGCTATCAAACCTCAGCACTGATAAGTTTTTAGCATACATAGCTAGGAATACCTAGATGAGCTATTTCTTCTGTATTTGATCAGTAAAATGACATGGTATCAATCATGCATGCAGTTCTCTGAATTAAATAGGCAAGCCGACTCACCAGGAATTTCCAAAAAAGTAGGAGTAAACTAGGTCATGCTTATAAAAGTGATTTAGGATGCAGCTGTTTGAGTATTCAGCTGGAATTGAGCAGCAAAACAGCTTTTTGATATTTTATTCAAGCACATTCAACACAGCAACCAGTGCAACAGCGACACCTAGGGGTCAGGAGTGTAACTGATACTTTTACTTACTTTATAGGGTAAACCATCTACTATCCTGATAAAGATTTATGTCATCATATAGTACCATGTATAAATAAAAAATATAGAACACTTTTCAAACACTGACAATACAGGTCCAACATAAAAATGAAAAAAAAATCGCTAAATAAACTGCAAAATGAACTTTATATAAACATCTTTATATAAATGTACAATATTGCAACTCACAATACTATTGTTTATGTTTTTGTGTGCATCTTTTGTCATCTTTTATCTTGTCTAATATTGCGCTTGCATAAATTATGAAAAGGTATGTAGTTTGTGACACCACAAAATATACGATTGAACATAATATGAAATGATAGACCATTTATTTTCTCTATGCTATATATATATATATATATATATATATATATATATATATATATATATATATATATAAATATATAGAGAGAGAAGGAGAGAGAGAGAGAGAGAGAGAGAGGTAAGTAGATATATGGTTAACATACTTAAAAGTCATCTGTGATGTCTTTGTTTTTTCTCTACAAGCTGTATGTGCGTGCGATGGTGGACTACAGTCCTCAAGCGGACCCTTCCATTCCATGCGCAGATGCCGGCATGGCGTTCAGAAAGTGCGATATCCTAGAGATTGTGGATCAGTCAGACAGTCTTTGGTGGCAAGCTGTAAAACTACCCAGCACCTCTGCGTGCGCCGGTCTCATTCCCTCCACCAGCTTGCTGAAAAGGTCAGTTCTCAGTAGTCAGGGGTTAAAGGTCACTGACAGAGTAGTTGCGTATTCGCATAGGCTATGATGTGATGAGATTTGGCAGCTTGAATATGATTTTGCGATTATGCTGATAATCACTGCTGTCCCCAGTCTTAAAGGCCAAATGTGATCTGTGTGTGTGTGTTTGTAGGAAGCAGAAAGAGTTCTGGTGGTCTCAGCCTTATCATCCTCACACTTGTGTCAAAAGCCGTAAGTAAATAGTGTACTTGATTTTTTTTTATTTGTGCATTGTTCAGCATGTATTTTTTTATTCAGCTGTTGCTGTTTATCTTTTGTTTGCATGCAACCTGCAGTGAGCACAGTAGATGAAGGTGAGCATTTCATTTGGGGAACAGTGTCATGCGCAGTTTGTCAGTCAAGCAGGCTCTGTAATCAGTAATAAGCCTTCAGCTTCTGCTTTCAGATGGAGCTGCATTTAATACAAAGAGTCATAGTTCACTGACATGCTATGCAGGATTGGATTCATGATCATAGATGATTTAATCTGGAGTTTATGAAATTGAAGATAATCATTCTGCGATCTGCTTGTTAAGTCGTGATGGATCAAATACTGTTCCCAGATCCAAACCGCTACTCATTTAAACTGAGAAAATATTCGTTCATGACCTTTTTTTTAGTCCTATCACACATTAAAGTGAATTTCATTTAAAATCATGATGTACACAAGAGTCTCTGGACTTGCTGCATCACAGACACCATTATTTTTACAATTTATAAAAAAATTATCACTTTCTGGCCATCGGATATTAAGCATGGTTATCTATATTGCGATCATGATTTTTTTAAAGTATTACAGCGCTTTGTAAACATTTATTATTACCATTTGATGAGTCTCCCCATTCAGTTTGATAGAGCGCTTGGACCAGGAAAGCGCTTCGCGTGACGTCACACTTAACAAGCGGATAGTGACAGCTGTTTGAATAGATTCTCAGTGAACTACCACTCTGTTGCTGCTAAATCTGAAAGCACATGAAAATACCACATTTTAATAAGATGTCTTTACTTCAAACTCACTAGATAACTACAGTCGAGTGACTGAAATAAATCCTTCTGTGATTTGATTCTATAGTCATGTGGTGAGGTTGAATCAAAGAAAACAGTTAAAATTTGTGTTTATCCAACAAACGCTTTAGCTGTTTGAAGTTTCTGTGCGCAGGAGCGCCCTCTGGCCTTTGGAGGACATTTACTATTGATTTGTGTTTCTCAGACAAAATGTGAATGACCAACGCAGCTTTTGATTAATTGCGATTGTGATTTTATTTCAATTGATCATGCAGGACTAGAACTAAACCATTCAGTATTAGGGAAATAGATCGCCCCAAAAAAGAAAATTCTGTCATCCATTACTCACCTTTTACTTGTTTCAAACCTTTATTATTCCCAATTAGTTTAATTACCACAATAAGCTATGCCTTTGCAATTCTGGTTATTTGTTTTAATAAATGATTAGCTAATGATGTGCCAAGATACCATAATATTCTGGTTAAGGCACAAAACTCTGTCTTCTTACTACAGAAGATGACATGATTGCCATAGATGAAAAATGTGTAGAGGCAGGTATGTATTTCTTTTCTCATTTAAATGAGTATTGAAACCTCATCTATATAACGCTTGTTATAATATGATAATAAATGTGTCTTTGTTCAATGTTTACAGATGAGGAGGCTTTTGAATCTGGTAGGTAAGTCCTGAACATATCAGGAGCAAAAAAAATGTACTAAATTCAGCTTTAACAGAATCTTTAACTTCTGTGACGATGTCTAGTAACTAGATTTCAGAAGTTATTTTATTGTGATTCATAATATTTAGTTTAATACTTTAAACTTATTGTCTCCGATAACTGTATTTCTGTTTTTGTTTTTGTTTTTGCTGCATGATGATTCATTAGAAGAGCTAAAGGATGGTGAGTGTACACATATAACTCAAATCTGTGTTTCTAATTAGTTGACTTTAATGCAGTGTTTGATCTAGCAGTTTGGGAGAATGAGTGAAGGTTAACCGTCTAAAGTTAAACCCAGCTATTTTGTAATTACAAAAAGTAAACCTGTAAGAGGGCGGCATCATGGTCGCTTAGTGGTTAGCACTGTCACCTCACAGCAAGAAGGTCACTGGTTCGAGTCCCGGTTGGGCCACTTGGGATTTCTATGTGGAGTTTAAATGTTCTCCCCATGTTGGCGTGGGTTTCTTTCAGGCGCTCTGGTTTCCCCCACAGTCCAAAGACATGTGCTATAGGTGAATTGGATGACCTAAATTGGCCGTAGTGTGTGTTTGTGTGTGTGTGTGTGTAAATGAGTGTTTATGGATGTTTTCCAGTACTGAGTTGTGGCAGGAAGGGCATCCGCTGTGTAAAACATATGCCAGAATAGTTAGTGGTACATTCCGCTGTGGCAAACCCTTAAACTGTAAATAAGGGACTAAGCAGAAGGAAAATGAATGAATGAATGAAAACTGTAAGAGTTAAACTGTAATTATTTCTAGTGCCTGGAATAGTTTGGCTTTGGTTGTTGAGAAGATGCTATTTACCCTCTTTGGAAATCAGTACATGCACTTCCAAAGGAGGACTTGAGGTCAAACTGACACCATTGTTATTGTACACATCATTGTGTTCACAAGTTCTGCTGTATATAAACCTATAGACAGGCTCTATGAAAGAAGGAGGAGTTTAGAGAAACTGAATCCTCAAACCATCTGTTTCAGATCCTGTGAGAAAAGAGCTGAACCTGCAGTGTGTATAAGCAAAAATTTATTTTGACCTTGGATAGATGTAAATGTTTTTGAGGATATATCCAGAACACAATTGGGACACTTTAAAATAGCCCATCTGTGGTCTTTAAATATTATTTTCAATTGCTTGTGCTCATTTTATACTATTTTCTTCTCGCAGTTGTTGATGATTATTCTCTAATTGTGTCTTTTGTTTCGTTTCAGAGGCGAGTGAATTCAGCACCAACATTGAGGGGATTTATTTGAGTGAGTGACTCTCAGATCATTTCAAGATTTACTGATTCATGTTCACAGCATCAAGACTTAAAAAGAACAACTGGTCTGGTTCATCTCATAATAAAATGTTCAAATTTGTCAAACTCGCCAGCCAGATGACAGGTAAAAAAAAATGTGGTGAAATAACAGCTTCTTTACAGATACTCTTACACTGGAAAAAAATAATAACTCTTAAGATTTACTTTAAAATCCTCGTAACAATTTTCTCTTACAAGTTTCAAGTAAATTTTACATTCTTATATCAGATACAATTACCTTAATAATATCATGTAAAATTGACTTAATATTTGATCTAACACTCCTTAATTAATGATGTAAAAGTTAATTGATTATCTTTAATTATGAGTCTATATTTATTTAAATAATCAAATAATGTCAAGTTCATGTTTTAGCAAAAGGAACACTGCTTTTTTATTTAAATAAATAATATTAGTTACAAATTAGTACATCTGGCATAACTTTTTTAATTAAAACACACATTTCCACTGACTTGGAATTTGTTATTTTTACTTTAGTTAAAGCAAATTGAACCCAAGAGCAAATTTACTATAAAAGTCCCTACTGATCTCAGAGTTAGCATTAGCATTAGCATAGCTATGGCTCTTTGAGTGAAGCATCAAACAATAATGTTGAAAAAATGCCAAGATCCAAAGCAGGAGTGCTACTCTTCTTCTAACCGCAAAACTAAAAACACTGCCTCAAAACTCTTTCTTAATCTTCGAACTAATAATTATTAAACTCTAACAGGTCTTTCTCTTAAATCTGCACAACTAAGATTGCTTTTATTTACAAAATGTTCTACTGTTAATTCAGTCCCATGCAAAGCATTTTGGGAACTACACATCCATCACGACACATCAATTATTAAAATTTACTTTATATTTTTTAAGTTTGCAACTATTTGAAAATATTTAAATATTACAAGTAAATTGATATTAATATTTAACTCCTTCCACTTGTTTCATTTATTACATGAAGTAAATGTGTAAATATTCATTATTAACTTAGAAAATTCTAGTTATTGACACTTTATATTACTAGTTAAAAATTATATTAGATTTTAAATTTATTAAATTTTACCACAGCAAAAAGTCAGCAAAAAGTTCTTTCTGTGTACAAATAAAGGTACAAATGGACATGATACCCTTTTAAAAGGGAAAGTTTTGTACTGTTTTTAATTAGTTCAGCCAAAATGAATTCATTTACTCACCCTTTGCAAACCTTTAAAAGTTTCTTTCTTCTGGTAAACACAAAAGAAGATATTTTGAAGAAAGTTGGATGCATGTAACCATTGACTTCCATAGTATTTGTTTTTTGTACTATGGAAGTCAATGGGAACAGTTTTGTAGCTTTCTTCTAAATATCTTCTTTTGTGTTCAACAGAAGAAAGAAACTCATAAAGGTTTAGAACTACTCGAGCAGGGGTGGACAAACCTTTTTCCTGGAGAGCAACCCATATCAAACACACCTGCCTGTAATTATCACATGTGTTCAGCTCCTAATTAATTGGTTCAGGTGTGTTTGATTTGGGTATCAACTGAAATTTGCTGGAAGGTGGCTCTCCAGGAACAGGGTTGGCCATCCCTGCACTAGAGGGTGAGTAAATACATTCATTTTTGGGTGAACTATCATTTTACGTACTGATATGTACCTTTAATGTTGCTTTAACGCACAATATGGGCACTTTGGGTACGAATATGTACTTTTAAGTACAAAAGTGTTTCTTTTGAAAGGGTACTGCTCTGGTGACAGCATTTGTACATTTATTTCTGAGAGTATATTACATGCATTCATTATACTAGATTAATTACAAAATACAATGCATTCCACTTACTGCTGTATCTCTTCCTGATTCATTAGCCTGTTTGCATGTTTGACTGTGTGTTCAATGTTTCCTTGTCATATTAGCTGGATTTCGTAGAAGTTTGCGTCTCTGTCGCCGGCGAAGGGGTCAGGCTTTCGGAACGTCTCAATTCTGCTCCCTTCGCTGCCCCGCTAGCTGCTACAGTTCACTATCAAACCCTTATGAGGACGTGGTGCGATACCAACACCATCCAGAACACACACACCGCCTCATAGCACTGATAGGTGAGTGTGTCTGAAGAGCTCTTCATAGTTCTATTAGTGGGTATCTAAAGGGTTAGTTCACTTAAAAAATAATGTCATCATTCTAAGTATAACAATTCTGTCATATCCTTCACTTGTCACAAACCTGTTTTAAAAACATTAACCATTGACTCCATAGTATTTGTTTGGAAGTCAATGGCTAGTTTTGGGGGAACTGTTCCTGAGGACATCTAACCGTAAAATTCTCCATTTAAACAGTAATATTGTAGTATATATATATATATATATATATATATATATATATATATATATATATATATATATATATATATATATATATATATATATATATATATATATTTAGTCAAGCCTGAAATTATTTATACCCCTGGAAAATTCTCACTTAAAGTTTTTGTTCAAATGTAAATAAAAACAGCGATGCGTCTTGTACATCGTCTTAATCGTTTGATGCCACAAGCTTGGCATATCTGTCTTTTGGGAATTTTTACCCATTCCTCTTTGCAGTACCTCTCAAGCTCTATCAGGTTGGATGGGAAGCGACGGTTACAGCCATTTTCAAATCTCTCCAGAGATGTTCAATAGGATTTAGATCTGGGCCCTGACTGGGCCACTTAAAGACATTCACCCAGTTTTTGTGAAGCCACTCCATTAATATTTTGGCGGTGTGCTTTGGGTCATTGTCCTGCTGAAAGATGAACTGTTGCCCCAGTCTGAGGTCAAGAGCACTCTGAAGCAGGGTCTTATTCAGTATGTCTCTGTCTGTTGCTGCTTTCATTTTTCCCTCTATCCTGACTGATCTTCCAGTACCTGCTGCTGAAAAACATCCCCACAGCATGATGCTGTCACCACCATGCTTCACTGTAGGGATGGTATTAGACTGGTGATGAGCGGCACCTGGTTTTCTCCAAACAAAACGCCTGGCATTTACTCTAAAGGGTTCAAGTTTAGTCTCATCAGACCAGAAAATTTAGTTCATATGGTCTGAGAGTCCTTCAGATGTCTTTTGCCAAATTCCAGGCAGGGAGTGGCTACTGTCTGGCCACTCTACCATACAGGCCAGATTGATGGATAGCTGCACAGATGGTTGTCGTTCTGTAAGGTTTTCTTTTCTTCACAGAAGAACACTGGAGCTCAGACAGAGTGACTATCAGGTTATTTATCACCTCCCTGACCAAGACCCTTCTCCTTGATCACTCAGCTTAGATAGCAAGCCAGCTCTAGGAAGAGTCCTAGTGGCTCCAAGCATTTTCCACTTTTGGATAATGGAGGCCACTGGCTCATTGGAACTTTCAGAGCAGCAGAAATGTTTCTGTAAGCTTCCCCAGCCTTGTGCCTCAAGACAATCCTGTCTCTGATGTCTACAGACAATTCCTTTGTCTTCATGCTTGGTTTGTGCTTTGACATGCACTGTCAACCCTGGTACCTTATATAGACAGGTGAATGCCTTTTCAAATCATGTAAAATAAATTTAAATAAATACATTTACAACAGTTAAAAAATATTAAAATACATTAAAAGTTAAAATAAAAAAAAGTTAAAATATATTGTCATTATAAGGTATTGTGTGAAGAATTTTGAGGAAATAAATTAATTTAATCCATTTTGGAATAAAAAAGTGAAGCGCTATGAATACTTTCCGGATGCACTGTATCGTTTGGTAAAAGCCTGTGTCATTTACGGTCAAACAAACTTGAATAAATATAACTTCAAGTCAGATTTGCCAGGTATATGATGAAATTCGGGCTCGTCGGCTCGACTGTACATATTTTTATATTCAAATAATCTTTTCACATCTTTTAAACACATTTTATGCAATACTAATGAGCAGTGATGTAAAGTTCATTCATCCCTTGCACATTTTTCTGTATATTCTGAGCCTGTGTTTTTCTGTCAGGTCCATCTGGTGTCGGTGTAAATGAGTTACGCAGGAAGCTGATTGAGATCAATCCAAAGGTCTACCAAGGACCCGTTCCTCGTAAGTTTCTCATTGCGAATCTAACAATGCATTTTATTTCTGTTAAACGTGTATGCATTTGTTGATTATGAAGTCTTTAATTTCCGCTCAGATACCACACGGCCACCCAAATGCCATGAGGAAGCTGGCAGAGAATATCATTTCGTCAGCCGAGAGCAGTTCGACAGCATGGTGTGCAATCACAGGTGCTGGAATACACATACCGTTGAAGTCAGAATTATCAGCCCTCCTGTATTATTAGCCCCCCAAATCTTTCTGTTTAATGGATTTTTTCAACACATTATTAGACAAAATAGTTTGTTCTTTAAACAATCAGAAAAAAATGCTTGCGATGGCTAATAATATTTACCCTAAAATGGTTTAATAAAAAATCTTACTGCTTTCAATTTAGCCGAAATAAAGCAAATCAGATTTTCTCCAGAAGAAAAAATTATTTAGGAATTACTGTGAAAACTTCCTTGCTCTGTTTAACATCATTTTGGGAAATATTTTTCACAGGAAGGTGTCAAATACAAACATTCAAATTCAATAAATATTTTAAGTTGTGCATACAAAGATATATAACAGCTTTGGGGTGATTATTTGACAGATTTGCTCTGTTTTCCTCAGGTTTATTGAGTTCGGGGAGTTGAGAGGTCATCTCTATGGCATTAGTGTGGATGCAGTTAAAGATGTCTTGACAAGTGGGAAGATCTGTGTGATTGACATTGAGCCATATGTAAGTTTCCCCTTGGTATTAATTCATTTGTCGTTTTAATAGTGTTTGTTTTTGCAGGTGTGTTGCTAACTTTTAGGCTTAGAAAAGTGAACTCTTTCTTTAATATTTGCCGCATGTTGAAGAGAAAATGTGTGTGTTTTTTAGTATTACTGATATACTGTTATGATTTGCATGAATATTTGTAGCTTTTATTGTAAATATTCTGTTTTCATTTTAGTTGTTTTGTGCTATTAATAATTTTATTACTCTTTAGGTTTAATTTATTTGAAATTTGAGTACAGCATACTTTTAACGCAATTTTGTAACTTTTTAATTTAGTAGCTAATTCATTAGCGGCACATTTTAGTATCATTTTCTCATCCTTCAAATTTTGTTCACTTTGCTGATAATACATGTACAGTATTACATCTAGTTTCATTTCCCCATTAGATTGGCCTGCTATAAGAGCTTAAAGGGGATCTATTATGAAAAAATAACTTTTATAAGCACAGTTGCGTGGCTACAGTCAGTGAACATAACCAGCTTTTAATGGTAAAATATATTAATTAATTATTTTTATAATGGCACTTTATAAAAACAGTCTGCAGAAACACTTTGATTGACATTCTCCCTTTGTACGTGTCATCAGAGGGGGAAAGCCCCGCCCATTAGTGACAATCTCTCCCTCATTAGCATATGATGTTAGTCTTAATTTTGAACTGCCACTGTATTGATACACAGGCATTTTTTAGCTTCGCCCTCTTTTGAAAAGAGCACAATCTCATTTGATTTGATCTCTCCCCCCAAAGTTGTGAATATTTTTTTCATCTTCTCACAGAAGCTCTCATCAACATTAAATATTTTATGTTTTTTACTAATTTTAGCAGTTTACTGTTCTTGTTTGTACTTTTTCTGTAACAGTGATGAAAGTTATGAAGTCTTTTCGGCAAATTAATTAATGCAAAAACCTTTTATTTGAAGTGCATGTGCAGGATGCATCATTCACAATGTAATATGGAAGGATATGGAGGCAGCAAGTCTTTAAATGAAAAGTCTGAAATTTGACTTTGTCAACCAGCACAATTGCCACTGAACTTACTCTTTTACTGTTTTCAGGCACTGGAGTCAGTGAGGACCCCCGAGCTGAGGGCCTACGTCATCTTTATAAAGCCTCCTACTGTTGAGCAGATGAAGCGCACTCGGATGAACTCCAATATCATCACAAATTACTATACAAGCCGACCTTTTAGGGTAACTGTTCATCTTTACCTTTGCCTACTGATTAGCTGATGTTTATTAGATATGTACTAGTAACTTTTTTTTAAATACCAGTACTTGTGACATACTATTTTAATTTGATCTGATTTTGATTTCTTGCTTATTACATATAAATACTTATTTAATAGACACTAATAGTTGTTCATGATTTCCACTTAACGGTATGGTTCTGTACAGTTCAGGTCAGCATGGTTTACTACTGAGCACAATCATTGTAGTACAGTGTCATGTTTTTACCTGTGTATGTTCTTTAGATTAAATATTAAGACTGTCTTACCATACCACACCATACCATATTTCGGTGCCCGCAGGGTCTAAAAATGTCCTAAATTTCAAAAACTAAATTTTAGACCTTAAAAAGTCTAGAATTTGTGCATTGTAGGTCTTAAATCGTTTTAAACAGGTCTTTTAATGCCCTATTGTAATGTGAATAGGACGCTGACAACAGAATTGCAGATCCAAATGCAGGTTTATTAGGAAGAAGTCAGGCAAGCAACATTCAACACAGGGGCAATCAGGTAGATACAGAGAATCCAGAGTCATAGTGAAAATAACAGGCGAGTGATCAGAAGGCAGGCAGCAGGCAGGAATAAACAATAAAACAAGGCAAGGGTCTAACACGGCAGGGCAAGGCAAGGAAAACACGTCGTAATGTTCACAATACAGCTAAACAAGACTCAGCAGTGAAGTGTGTGTATGTGTGTGCTGTATAAATAGTTCTTGTAATCAGTCTGTAATGATCCTCCGGCTATGTGTGGAATCCGGAACTGGTGTATGTGAGCAGTGCATGACTGGATCTGTAGTCCATATAATTGCAGATTTGTAGTCCTATGGACTCTGCTTGTTTCCCAGCAATCTACAAGGATTAGATCGCTGGTAATTGTGACACCTATGTGCAAAGATACCCAATCAGGCCAACACTCATCAATCCATCCAAAAAGATATTAAATCAAGTTACATTTATTACCTACATTTTTAAGTGTATGCATACAACAAGAGTTTGCTTGTTTTGACACATTATTGTACATATGTGGCTTAAAAAGTAACTAAATTAGATTTTTATGGTTTTGTCCTGTTTAAGTCTAAAAATTTCATTCATAGTGGTCTCGAAAAGGTCTTAAATTTGACTTTGGGAAACCTGCAGAAACCCTCGTTTCTATTGTTTTATAAGTTCTCTCTCTTGAGACAGGATGAAGATTTTCTGGAGATTGAGGACGCGGGACGCAAGATGGAGCAGCATTACTGTCAGTTCTTCGATCATGTGATTGTAAACGACGGGCTCCAGGCGGCGTGTGTGCAGCTGCTGACCGCAGTGAGAAGAGCTCAGGATGAGCCGCAGTGGGTACCGACCTCATGGATCAGACCAACTGACCAGTCCTAGCATAAACAGACACGACCAGAAAAGCTCAGGGATACTACATGACGACAGATGGACATCAATATGCAAAACAAACTGTTTTTTTTTTTTTTTTATGTTTTATAGACGCGACATTGTGTGTTTTGTCTGTAGTAATGTTAGTCTTAATAGAAAGGTTCTGTTTGTCCATATTTTTTTCAGGTGTCAATCTTTTGTTTGGACATTGTGTTTGGCCTTGTGATAAATCAAATAATAAAACCTATCCTTTATTAAGCTGTCCAAAAGAGATTTGGTATTTTTTAACACTCTTAATCCGGTTTTAACTGTGGTTGATTTTGAGGATTTATAGGTTAATGAGAACAACAGAACTAATGTCGCTTGACTTTAGGGGCCTTAATAGGGAACTGTATCATATCAAAACTTGTCACTTTAAGCTTTAAATGTTTTTAAAAGCATAGTCAATCTGAAATATAGCATAATTTACTTGGATCATAAAAAGATACTTTAAAAAAGTTGACAACCAAACAGCATTTTTCACTCACCGGCCACTTTATTAGGTACACCTTCCTAGTACTGGGTAGGACCTCCTTTTGCCTTCAGAACTGCCTTAATCCTTTATGGTGTAGATTCAACAAGGTACTGTAAATATTTCTCAGAGATTCCGGACCATATTGACATGATGGCATCACGCAGTTGCTGCAGGTTTGTTGGCTTCTCATCCATGATGCAAATCTCTTATTCCACCACATCCCAAGGTGCTCTATTAGACTGAGATCTGGTGACTGTGGAGGCCATTTGAGTGCAGTGAACTCATTGTCATGTTCAAGAAAACAGTCTGAGATGATTCACGCTTTATGACATTGTCAGTAGATGGGTACACTGTGATCATAAAGGGATGGACATGGTCAGCAACAATACTCAGGTGGGGTGTGGTGTTGACACGATGCTCAGTTGGTACTAATGGGCCCAAAGAGTAGCAAGAATATACCGCCCACATCATTACACCATCACCACCAGCCTAAACTGTTGATACAAGGCGGGATGGATCCATACTTTCATGTTGTTGACACCAAATTCTGACCCTACCATCCAAATGCTGCAGCAGAAATCAAGACTCATCAGTACAGGCAACGTTTATCAGATCATATTGACCATGTCTACTTGACAAAATGCATTGAGTTGCTGTCATGTAATTGGCTGATTAAAAATGTCCAATAAAAAGCAGTTAGACGAGTGTACCTAATAAAGTGGCCGGTGAGTGTATGTTGCAAGTATAGTAACATATATTTCATTTATGGGTGTATTATTGGTTTAAATACAAAACCAAGATATTTTGATTGATATTTTTAAATGAACTATCCTTTTAAGTCTAACCATAAACCATTTAATTTTTTGTTATAAATTATATTCTTGTGTGAAATTTTGATAACGCGTTATCAGTAATTTATAACCTTAATAAGTACAAATGAGTATTACCATGACTTTCCATTGCATTAATGGGACAGTAAGTATCGATTAAGCATTAAAATGGTTTTGAAGGCAAAGACAGACTGAAATTTATGATTATTTTCTGTGGAACATGAAAATATTAAATGTTTGAAACCAAAACAATTTATTTTCCACTGAAGAAAAGAGTTACATAGAGCAAGTAATGAGTAACATAAGTTTACTTTTTGGGTGTTTTTATTGGTTTAAATAGTACAAAAACAAGATATTTTACTGATATTTTGTAATCATACAATTGCTGCCAACTATTAACTTGATGGCCACTTTTTACTTCGGTTAATGTCAACTCTCTGGTTACCAATTTCCTTTAAAATATCTGATTTTGTGTTTAGCTGAAAACATATTCACGATGAGAATAATTTCTTTAAGTCTTACTATAAAAATGATAGCAATAAATCAATTTACTTGTTTTTTTTAGTTATCAGCACCACTTGTATTAAAATTACTCGTAAGTTCTTTATTTTACAAATCACCTTTGTTTCTTTTAAAGTTATTTTTACAAATATACAAGACATATTAAAGATATTGCAAATAAGAATACAACTTTTTATTAAAACAATTAACGTATGCCTCCTCAAAATTTAAAACGGGCTAACAATATTTGCTTTTAGAAGAAAACGTATCTTTAGGTTAAGCAGACATTTTGATTGAGATGTTCTGTAAATAAATGTTTTACTGATAATATTCTTGTGTGAAATGTTAACGGCATTTATGACATAAATACACAAACGAGAATTTTGTGAATTATTCAATTTTCTTTAAAATGTATGGGACAATTGCGTTTTCAAACTCATCAATTTAACATCAAAATGGTTTAAAAGGCACAGACAGACTGAAATAGATCATTTCCCGTGGAACTTATAAAGGTACTTTTAAAAATGTTGGGAACTAACCTTTTAATGTATCGCTAAAAAGAGTTATGGGCAAGTAAAAACTAACACGTTTCATTTTCGGGTTAAGAGTACAAAAACAATATGTTTTAATTCATGCCTATTTTGAAACCAACAGTTCACTTTAACCATTTACATGATATATATATATATATATATATATATATATATATATATATATATATATATATATATATATATATATATATATATATATATATATATATATATATATATATATATAATATTTTTTTATTAATTTTGTATAATTGTTTATTTTTCTTCTGTGGAATTCGGCTAATAGTTGCCAATTTCCTTTAAATGATCATAAATTTTGTGTTTAGCTGAAAATATATTCACGATGAGTAAATTTTCTTTTTTTTCTGAATGAACAATATCATTAGGTCTTGCTATATAAGTACTAGCAATAAATACACGTTTAGTTGTTGTTTTTAGTTAAAAACACCACTTTTATTAAAATTACCTATATAAGTTCTTTATTTTACAAATCACTTTTGTTAATTTTAAAGTTATTTAATATATTTGACATAAAATTATAAACATGTTTTACAAATAAGAATAAGACTTTTTATCATTATTTTTTAACAGCATTTGCCTTTAGATCATTGCAGGAAAAAGCCATTAGATATAAAATATTCCGTGTTTTCAGACTAATAAAAAAGCAAAAAAAAAAAAAAAAAAAAACGAAAACATCTAATAACCTTTATTTAACGAGGTAATTCAATTGAGAACCAGTTCTCATTTACAATGAGGACTTGGCCAAGAGGCAATCTGTTCAGGTTTAGCTTATTGAGTTTTTCTGCAAGTAAATGTTTTAATGACAATATTCTTCTGTGAAATGACAAAGACGCCTTAGGCTTGTTTATGACATTGATTCATAACACAAACGAGCATTTCAGCTCTATTAAATTTTCCAGAACTGTATGATAATGTATTACAGCGTTTTTGTATAGATGTAACATAAGAAATATAATTTTTTAATTAAACTACAGCAGCCCAGAGATGGTTAATTGATTATTTATTTATGTTTACATGGACATAAATGTAAAATATGTATATGGCTTATAAAAAAAAACTAAATCGACCACACAAATAGAGTGCATGCAATAAAACAAGAATAGAACTTATAGTGTAGGCCTATTTAAAGGCCTGAAGCAATTATAAATTTTAGCATATTTTTAATGTAAAAACTTTAACTAAATATTAAAACATTTAACTGTATTGTGTGTGTATTTTATATTTATATAGCTTTTCTGTTTAATTTGTCCAGAATTATTATTTTATAGCTTTAATTAATGTGTTTTCTTTGGGATGTATAATTTCTCCCACTGCGTTTCAAACAATAACACAAACCTCTGCTGTTGCGTCATAATTAGAATGGAACATTTAGAATGTCTTGCATTCTTAAACAGCTTCTCTGTACAGATTTGTCATTTGGCTCGATATTTCTGTCTGCATTACACGAACTCAACAGCGTTAGTGTTTTATCCAAATTTTGTGATCATGGGACAGAAGAGAAAGAGAGATTGTTTTTCTGACAGCGATTGCGTTATTGCGCACAATTTCCATCAAGGTGCGCAAACAAACTCCTGCCCCAACGAGGCGTTCGACCATCTCGAGCCCGTTGAGGAGAGGCGACCATCAAAAAAGATGAGGAGCGGGTCGTCTTCTACTTACTTCTCTGCTCAAAGTGTCACCTCTGAGGAGAGAAATTCAGAATATTATGATACTTTCATGGATTTCTCTGTGGAGAGTCATGAAGTTCTGAAAACTGACACCAGCAGCGGCCTGAGTCTTGACGAGGCCAGCTCTAGTTTCAGCTCCAACAGCAGCTCCAGCGGGGCGTCCAGCTCCAGAAGCAGCTGCAGCAGGTCTTCCAACTCCAATAACAGCTCCAACAGGACTTCCAGCTCCAACAGCACCTCCAGCAGGACGTCCAGCTCCAGCAGTCTTGAAGGTCAGGAGGTTTAACATCCTTTATCCTTTTGACCTTTAAATGATCTCAATAATGTTCATGCTGTGTTCCAACAACATGTGTTAATATAATATGTGTTAATTACTTACTTTAGGTGTATTAGAATCCTTTTACTTAAATTGAGTTGTGAAGAAATGTGAAATATTCAAAATAATAGACAAATATTCTGTCAAATTATGAATTAAAATGTCAGCTTTAATCCTCTTGTTGTGTGTTCTCTTCTATAATGTTTATTCATTTTATTTTTTGCAGAAGATATTTTGGGCCGCTACAGAATTGTAAAAAAGCTCGGCCAGGGAGGATACGGGACAGTTCTTGAAGCAGTTCGTCTGACGGATGGTCTTGAGGTATATTTTACTCACTACATCTAGCAAAATATTTCTCTCAGTGTCTGTTCAAGTCTGGTTATTGTGTCACATGACATTGAAAAAGTTGAATGACTGTGATGATTTGAGCTCAGAGCAAGAATTACTAATGTTTTTTTTTGTTGTTGATCAGGTGGCAATGAAGGTGGTTGTGAAGAGCAGTGACATGGATTACCTCAGCATTGTAAGCAGCTCTCTTGGTTTTTACTTCAAAATTTGTTAATTAGAGCCAAAAAGGATTTTAAACATCACTGACAACAAATGTCTTTCCTCTACAGCCTGGTCATCCTACACCCCTTCCGTTAGAGGTTGCTCTAACCATTCTTGCCAACAATGGTCCGACCGTTCCTCAGATAATCCGGATGCTGGAGTGGCAGGAGAGGTCTGACTCCTACATAATGATCTTGGAGCGTCCCTCACCCTGCGAAGACCTGTTTGATTTCCTGGAGCGGCACAGAGGAACCCTCAGTGAGAACATGACACGGCACATCATGTGGCAGGTAGTGCAGGCTGCCCACATGTGCTGTCAGCGAGGGGTCCTCCATCGGGACATTAAATTAGAAAACCTCCTGATAAACAAGGAAACTCTGGAAGTGAAGCTCATCGACTTTGGCTGCGGTGACCTTCTGAAGACCTCAGCATATACAACATTCTGTGGTATGTATTGTCCTTCAAGTCTGCAGTTTGAGATTTTAATTCTTCAACTCCATATTTTGAACAGCATCAGCTTTCTTACTGTCACTAATGAAGAAAATCTTCTTTTTTTTTTAGGGACAGAAGATTACTGTCCACCTGAATTTAGATCCAGTGGCAGGTACCATGGAAAGGCGGCAACCGTTTGGTCACTGGGGGTTCTCCTGTATGAGCTGCTGTGTGGAGAACCTCCAAAACACAGTGACCTGGACTTGACAGACGAAAGAACTTGGATCAAATCTGGATTGTCAACAGGTGAGCTGGCCATTTATTACAGCAGAGAAAGCCAACTGTAAATCTAAATGACACAGAGGAATAATTCAGTGATGTTCATCAGTTTTGGGCTTCATGTTTCAGCATCATCAAATCTTATTGTTAAGATTTTGATTATTAAAGCAAGTAGATGTAGTTTAGGTAATAATAATCAGACTCCTCCATCTTTTTCCACAGAGTGCTGCCAACTGGTCCAGTCCTGCCTGCAGAGGAGCCCCAGGAAGAGGATCGCTTTGGGGAAACTCAGCAGCCATCGCTGGTTCAAGGTATTCAATTCTACATTTTCTTCCTTGAACATTTTTATACAGGAGGTGTGTACTAGTGTAACATGGAGACCAACATATGTGTGTGTTGCTTGTTTCAGGTCACCAGATAAAGAACAACAAGAAGTTCCAGAGCCCTCCATCAAGACGATTATATCATCTGATCTTCTACATCTTCTTGTCATGAGACTCAAATAAATTATTGCTTTATAAACACCGTTGTGCCTGAACTTCCTGTGATGGATTGAGGAGAAAATGTGCCTGCAAGAAGCAAACCAGAGCTGATTCTCAACACTTACCCAGTGCCAGTGCTGTGTGCCAACACTGTCCTCATCTGTCAACACTTACAGATCCTGACAAAGCTGTAGCTGTCTTAACTTTAGCTTTAATCTCTCCATCCCGAACATGCTTTATAGAGGGACCCTCAAGAGCACAGGTGTCAAATCCAGTTTGTGTAGGGCCGCAGCTCTGCTCAGTTTAGTTCCAACCCTGCTTCAACACACTTACCTGTGGGTTTCTCACAAGCCCGAGGGACTCAATGAGTTTGATCAGGTGAGTTTAATCAGGGTTAAAGCTAAACTGTGCAGAGCTGCGGCCCTCAAGGAACTGGATTTGACACCTGTGCTCAAGAGCATCCCGAGCAGCTGCATCAACTGAACTACCTCCAAACACATGCACTTATTCAGAGGAACTGTGTTTACTGATAAATGTAATGTTTCTGCTTCTGTTTCTGCTTCTGAATTGTTTAATGCACTTTAATGTCTGTCTTGCACTGTTTGCACCAGGTTGCACTTTACATCGTCAGGTAGTTTACTCTTTAACCCTTGGTTCTGAGGTGTTTTGTGTTGTTTGTGTGTCTCCTACTGTTTTGTGTAGTTGTGTGTGATTTTTATGTGGTAACTGGATAAACATGGTCTCATTTCACTGTGTACTGTTGAGATGACAATAAAGCTCTTTGCACTTGAACTTGCTCATCTCACTGTCTCAGCCGTCATGGTTTTAAAACAGTGCCTGCTGCAAGGTTATTTTAGTAAACAAAGACAGAAAGTAGTGGTCAAACAACTTTTACATGAACTGAAAAGAAATCAGAATAAATGAAAAACACAAATTAAATGAAACAACAGTTACTGAAAAACAAACTGAAATGCAATCATTCACTCACTCATTCATTTTCCTTCAACTTAGTGCCTTATTTATCAGGGGTTGCCACAGTGGAGTTAACTGCCAACTATTCCAGCATGTTTTATGTTTTACAAAGCAGCCGCAACTCATTATTGGGAAACACTCATACATTCTTGGATTCACACACACACACACACACTACAACCAATTTTGTTTATCCACAGTTCACCTATAGCACATGACTTTGGATTCTGGGGGAAACTGTAGCTCCCAGAGGAAACATAAGGAGAACATGCAAACTCCACACAGTTCCACAATAATGATGATTTTACAGACAAACACATCAATCAAATGTGTGTTTATGTACATTAAACATCTGTTCTATCTTTTCTTTAAGCTCTCTGCCAAAAACATGCAAACTAGGCATGTTTAACTGCAGATAAACATATAAAGTTATCTGAAGAAGTTTCTCTGAATTCTTTCATAAATTCAAGTTCAAAAAATAAAGAATTTGTGGTTTTGGGATAAGTGTTTGTTAAAACAATAATTTTATTTTTATTAGCCAGAGCCATATCACCCTGCAGCCCAAGACCGGTTACTCACTGACACTAAAGCTAAGCAGGGCTGAGCCTGGTCAGTACCTGGATGGGAGACCACATGGGAAAACTAAGTTGCTGTTGGAAGTGTTTTTAGTGAGGCCAGCAGGGGGCGCTCAACCTATGGTCTGTTTGAGGTTAATGTCCCAGTAAATTGAAGGGGGCACTTTACTTTCCTTGAGCGCTGTCTTTTGGATGGGACACCAAGGTCCTGGTCCTAATTAGGTTATAGGTTAGAGCCGTATGCCGACATATTCCAAACTGTATTACATTAAAGCTGCCATGGTTAAATTTTCTAATTTTATTTCATAATAAAAAATAAAAAAACACATTTCTTTAAATTGTATTATCTAATAAAATGATAACTTTTTGCAATAAAAGCATAGGCCTAACAGTGAACAGTGCATGTCAATGCTGAATACACTACTTAGTCAGGCTAAATCGGCCTTTGCCTTGATTTGCTGGTCTCTGCATTGTCCTCTATCCATCAGGTGACAGCATGGGCTACATTTAAACTAAATCTGGTTAATTTACAATAAAATTCAGTTAGCTTTTACCTTACATTACATTTGAAATGACAATCTCTAAACCATCCCTATCATTATTCCACTCTTTTCAGATGGTATGGTGGGCCGAATTAAAGGTTACCATGGGCCTAGTTTGGGCATCTCTGTCTTTGAATGAAACATATTTTATTTTCTAAAACAACAATCAAGCAGATTTGATGAAACAGATAAGTGTTTTTGTTAAATTACAAGGGACTTTTTATTTTAGTTACAAGATTAATTATGCTAAATAACCCATTTGTTTATGTGTTTATCCTTACTACTTTAAGTTTATTTTATTAATTTTACTTGATTAAGTTTTAGTTGGCTTTTCCTAGTATACTAATATGATGTATCATGTTAAATATAAAATAATATATAGCATTTTATTTATTTTTATGTATATACAATACTATTTTACTAGTGAATAGTGGCCAGTGATCGATATTGGCCGATAATCAAATTTCATGACCTAATCGGTAGTCGCTAATCTGTCCAATCTCAATAAACTAAAATGGCTGTAGTGTGTGTGTGTGTGTGTGTGTGTGTGTGTGTGTGTGTGTGTGTGTGTGTGTGTGTGTGTGTGTGTGTGTGTGTGAATGAGTGTGTATGGGTGTTTCCCAGTACTGGTTTGCAGCTGGAAGGGCATCCGCTGTTTAAAACATATGCTGGATAAATTGGCGATTCATTCCGCTGTGGTGACGCTAGATTAATAAAGGGACTAAGCTGTAGGAAAATGAATGAATACTTTTTATTCTTAAAACATACCTAAATTTGAAGAAAATCTTTAAGTGCACTAATGATGATGGCATGCTTATTAACATTTTAGACATTCATCATTTGCGACAACAGACTCAGACAACAGTCTGCTCTTGGATACACTGTAAAACATTGGTGTTCAAGGTTATAGCTATATTTACACTGTACTGAATAGTAGCTATAACAAAGATAATGCATTATTATAATAGTGCTTTAAATCTACTCATAGTAAAACATTATCCTCATTTCAGTTTTTTATTAAGTGAGGGCAGAGAGAGGCAGAGATGAGCCAGATCTCTGGAGCCTGAATGAAGCCCTGGTTCTGACTCTTTATTTGACCCAGATCCCACAGAGAGCCAGTGGGGAGACACCATAACTCAACATGGCCTCATTTCCACAGCAGAAGGCAGCGGCGTATGTCCCGTAAATGTTTAATCCTCAGTGCTCCAAAGTGGGCCAGGATGATTCTAAAAGTGACCAAGATTGATTTAGACAACACAAAGAAAAACAACATTCTGCTAACATTTGCCATGCAACCGAAGCAGGTTTGAGAAGCAAACGTTAAGAATATGTTGGTTGGTATCATTTATGTGTTATTAGCATTACTAAACAACTTCATTCATATATTTTTTTTCAGCTTAGTCCCTTTATAAATCTGGGGTTGCCACAGCAGAATGACCAACCAAGTTATCCAGCATATGTTTTACACAGCGAATGTCCTTCCAGCTGCAACCCTTCACCGGGAAACATCCATACACAATCATACACTATGGACAATTTAGCTTACTCAATACACCTATACCACATGTCTTTAGACTAGGGGAAGCCGGAGCACACAGAGGAAACCTACGCAAACACAGCAATAACATGCTAACTCCACACAGAAATGCCGCCTGAGCTGAGGCTCGAACCAGCAACCTTCTTGCTGTGAGGTGATTGTGCTACCCACTACGCCAAACAACTTTTTTTTGTTAATTTGCTTTTTTAAAATTAATAAGACTAATCAAAATACTAATAGTAAATGCAGACACCTACAGTAATAATAGTAAAACTAATAAACTAATTTCTTATTATTTTTACTATTTGTTTTAACATTTTATTAGTTGTAATAATAGAAAGCATTTGTTTCTTTAATGTTGTTCCACTTAAAATGCTTTAAATGATTACCTTGCACAGATGTGCTGAAGATTCAGCTGACCATAACTAATTGAAAGACTAAATATAGACACATCTGTGTTTCTGCCATTCTGAGCACACTGAATGTTTTTGCGCAGAGCGTCTCTGAAATGAGGTTTGCTCTGCAGCATCTAAACAGAAATTAGCGAAGGTGAGATGAAGTGATTTTAAACCTGAGGAAAGGGCATGTATAGTTTTTACATTTTAATTGGCGATTTGATACCGGGGCTCTCTGTCCCTTTAAGAGCAGGACACTCCATCATTATTTTAAGGTTCAATCTATAGTAGCAGATTTAGCCTTGGGACAAGCTGGTAATGGACTGAAATGGACTTGCATCGACCTTTGTTGCAGTGGACTAGTGGTGGTACTCAAAAAAATCCATTTCCATCAATCCTGATGAGAGATGTAGATGTACATTTGCAGAATTTGCCTGCTGATGATGAGAGAAATCACAGTAAACCTCATGAAACAACTACCACCATCCACCTTTTCAATCTGTTGTTGCAATTTTATTTTGCTTTTAAATAGATTTTCTAAATCACCGTCACTATGGGTAGTTAACTTATGCATAATTATTCTTTCATTCATTAAATATTTTCCTTTGGCTTGG